CTTGGGAAATAAGAAATGTCCATTAGGTAGATTATAAGTTCTGGGAAGAAAGTTCAACCCTGGGAACAGGAAAGTAAGGCATGTAAGAACCAAGAGAGGGGTTAAATCTTATGGAAATACACATATGTGCACACTCACATGCACACACATACACATGAGCTCTCGCTCTCTCACAACACACCCATTTGAGACAGGGTCTCCTGTATTCTAGGCTGGCCTTGAACTTGCTATGAAGCTGAGGATGACCTTAAACTTCAGACCCTCTAATTCTGAGCAGAGTTATAGGTATGCAAACCCCTCTCCCTCAGGGTGGAGATAGTGGCTCAAGCCCTGAGCTTCCTTGAGCTTCCGCAGGTCAGGCGAACATTCTATAAGCTCTGCTGCATCTCCAGACTGGACCCATATCTTGTTTCCATTTTTCTTTGACTGTTAGGAAGTGCATAGCCACAAACCTAGTGACCTTCAGTGGCTAAGCCCCTCTAGCAGGTAGGGGTGGGTGGGAGTGGGTGGTCACGTGGGCTTGCTTATGGGGAAGGCTTATGGTTTATCTCAGGTCTGGGCTCTGTTTCTCTTGTTTTCATGCCCTTGTCTGCCATTATCTTTCTGTTTACATGATCTCAACCATATCATTGTTTGCTATTACATTGCTTGAGGTTTTGAAAATGGCATCAGATTGTTTTGGAGTAAGCATGATGGCAACAGATGACCAAAATACCACATCAACCAAGGAAGGACAGTGTGCATCACTGGAATAGTCAGAATCTCAGTCATATAATCATGGCCCAGGGACCGAGCCTGCCCCATGGTGCTCACTTCTTGATCACCAGATTGGGAAGATCACTTGCCCTCTTTGAACCTCATTTTTTTTTAATCTGTAAGATGGTTGTACTATCGCACCTCAAGTCTTGCCTGTCTAGGCCATGTGGGACTGTTCTACAAGGTGCAGGATACAGGAAGGTGATGGAGTTTGCAAGACTTCCCCAGCTGCCTTTTGAGGTCATGCAAAGAGTTGGGGGTGGAACTTCCGAGCAGGACCTGGAACGGGTGCATGGGGACTTAGGCTGCAGCAGCCTGGTGTGAGAGATGACGGAGGCATGAGCAGAATGATGCGGGTTGCCTGCTTTTCAGTAGCTCCAGAGGGAGGTATCAGCTTTCTGTGTGGGACCAGATTCAGAATCTCTTAGTGGTCTCTTCTGGTTGGGTGAGGCCTTGGTCCCTGGCCTGTGGGACACAAGACAGAACTGCATCAACAATTCTTTCAACCGAGGCCTGTTGACAGTATTCAGGCTGTCCACCTGGGGATGCACCTTAGTGGAGAGCATCCCATGAAGGGCTGCTTCCTCCTGCTTTGCTCTTACCCTGCTTACTTCTTCTGGAGATGGACACTGTGTTAGCAGAATCACCAGCAAGGTGGCCTCCAAGGCAGTGGAAAATTCGTGCTTGCCTAACTACACCCACCAAGACAGGCTTGTGTTATCCACTGTGGATTAGTTACTACATGGCCTCACACACACACACACACACACACACACACACACACACACACACTAGCCCTCTGGCCTGGGACTTTAATGAGGAAGGAGGAAATAAAACCAAAGTGGTATCCCCACTCACGGAACTCACTTGAGTGTGAGCGAGCTCAGTGCAGGCCATCCATTGCGGTTTGCCCCTTCACTGGCCATACATAAGAAACCCATTATGGCCCTGCTGCCCTTTAGCTTGGTGACACCAATGGCACTTTTATTTTCTTTGCTTTGGCTTAGTGCTGTGTACCTGTCACTGCCCCATGCACATTTAAGCTTCCCTTTTGTTCCAAGTTTCTTGGAGTGACAGTATTTGCTGTATTTTTCAAGGCCACTTGCCAAGCCCCCTGACAAAAGCTGACAGAAGATATGGTAGTAGTTGTCAAGCAAATCTGAGGTCCTGAGCCATTGCCTTAAACTCTGTATGAACCAGTAATCTGGAGTGGAGAGGCCTGGTGGTGCTGCTGGGTCTGTAGGGATACAACTGAGCTCATTTGGAATATGGTGAACTCCTTGGCAAAGTGGGCAACAAATCATGGGCCTCTTGTTTCCTTCCTTCCTTCCTTCCTTCCTTCCTTCCTTCCTTCCTTCCTTCCCTCTCTCCCTCCCCGTCTCCTTCCTTCCTTTCTTCCGGACAAGGTTTTCATTAACCCAAGATGTCTTTGAACTTGCTCTGCAGTCAGGGATGACCTGGGCTTATTTATGATCCTCCTGCCTCAAGTGCTGGGATTCCCGCCTGCACCTCTACATCTGGTTTATGCTGTTCTGGGATGGAACCCAAGGCTTCATATATGCTAGGTGAGCACTCTACCTGCTACAGGTTGCAAACGACTTGAAAGCAGGTCTGGGGGAGAGGTTTGGGGTCTATGTTCTATTGACTGTCCTTGAAGCTGCAGGCTAGATGGACTTGTAGGAGGAAGAAGTGTTGAAGAAAGGGACATGGCCCAGGGAACACTTGCTCTCCAAATTCTCACCTTTCTTCTTAGTCCCCCATCATACAGGTGGCACCTTTGGTTGGTGTCAGTGACTCAAAGTCCAGCTGGGGGCCGTTCAGGGCTCCTGTGTTTCCTGTGTGCCTGTTTCCCCAACATAACCGTCACCTCTGGAGTTTCCTGGGGTCACTGACTATCTGATCCATAAACTTCAGGGTCATTCCTCCTTTGTTCCTGTGTCCCAAGATGTAAACCCATCTGGCACAGTGACAGGTTCCCTATGTTCTCTTCAGTGTAGATATTCTCTATGTTGAGTAAGGTTCTGAACCCATGTACGGCCTGTTGTAACACATCACCTGGCCCTGTGTGACAGCCTTGGGTTTGTTCTACAGGCTCTGAGCAGATGTATGTAGTCCAGAGCCAGGGCTTCAGTGTGGAAGTGCTCAGGGTAGGGTGGTTCATTCGGAGGGAAGGGGGTCTTCCTTCTTTTATGGCCTAGATCAATCTACCTTTTGGGGTAGCCTAGTCCACCTGACCTTCATTCAGTCTTGATCAATTTCAACCCAGCATTACCTTGCTGTTTGCCTCCTGGTGCATACAATCCCCACCCTCCAAGAACTGTACAACTAAGTCTTAGACTCTAAGGCAGATCTGACTTGGGGGTTCACTTGATCACATCCTGCCCTCTCAGTAGCTCCTGTCTTTTTAGATGGCTTGGGCACTGGTGACACCTTCGTTTCATGTTCATCTCTCCCTTGCAGATCCAGGTCCAGGTGACAACTGAAGGCAAGGAGACCCTCCGGCTGGGCATCCTTTCTGCATGGCACTGCCCCAACATCAGCTGCTTGGAGCCATCAGCCTTATGAGAGAGGAAATGGGTCCACCTCTTACCTCTGCCCAAAGGCCAATGACTGCCACTCTCTGACCCATCTGGAATTCAGCAAGAATCCTTAGATAGGCTGAACAAGCTGTGGTTGTGCTCATGTGTGTTCTGGCTTGGAGGTGATCTAGTCAATTCTCCCACATCTCCAATTTATCTGAGACCACATGCCCATGATCGAGAGGGGCAGTTGTGACACCAAGCCCTTAGAAGTGCCCAGAACAGTTCTTTGTGCAGAAACTGCCCGAGGAGGTCCATGACAGTCTCCTTTATCTGAGTAAGAGTTGCCCTTGGATACTATTCAGTTTCCTTGTTCTTATTTTGTGCTCCCAAACAAACTATTGGGATATAATTTCATCTCTCATGCAGACTCATTCTAAAGCCAAAATACACTTCCATTGTCAATGACTAAAATTTCCTGGTGTACCAATAGTCTCTGAGCAGTGTAATTAGTGCAGCTGGACTTCCAACAATCTGGATGTCCTGTGGGGAGTTTGGGTTCAGAGTCTCTCATGGGTGATGGTGCTATCCTTATGGGCACCTTCCTTTAACAGCTGTCCCCGCTGTCTGAAGACCCTGGCAAGCACAGAAGTCAAGCCTGGAATGTGACTTGCCTTTGGATGAAATTAGAGGCAGACTCTCAACCCCTAATGGTGACTTCACAGTAGCCCACTATAATCAAGTACAGAGACCACGGGTTAACAGTGCAGGGGAAGGAGCTGAACCGCCCTGGTGCCTTATGAGACAAGGCCCTACTCAGAAGGCCAGAAAACAGGCAATTCTGCTGAGCTAACCACTTTCCACCAGCCCTTTCCATCACAGAGAGTATTTTACAGATGTCAAACAACCTTCTCAGAGTGTGGGGGGGTCCATCAGAGTCCCGGGATACAGAGTGGGACATCCCAAAGAGTGTGGGTGTGTTTATGTCGCAAATCTGAGGAAAGAGATTGACTGGAAGACAGAAAGAAACAAGGAACAAGTTGTATACTTTGTCAAGCCCTGAGCATCATACAGTGTGGTTGCTGAGGACAAGAAATCAAAGCTGGCTGAGATGGTTGGGGTGGTTCAGCTTGAGGTCCTGCGTTCCTCAGCTCTTGGACTGTGGCACCGGTGAGACCCCAATGTTGGTGGCTCATCTGTTGAAAGCTAGCATGGGTACATGGTCTGGGTGGGATGTTCCCTCATGCCCTCCACTCTTTAGCTAGTAAGCAAGGGCATTCTCAGTCCTCTGAGCCTTGGTGATGCCCACAAGAGCCAACTAGGAGGACAGCCTGCCAGTATAAACCATCCCAAACACATGCCTTCCCCTTGGCACCATGTCTCTTATTTGCTCAACAACCCACATCCTGCTTCCCAATTTCTTTTAGACTCTCCAAGATGAAAATCAAGGCCATTTTCAGGGAGCCGTTGAGAGTCTTCGATGCTCACCTAGAAGGAAGTTTTATCACTGAAGTCAGGCCCTCTGAATTGGGCAATCGCCAGCTTGTTCATACCACAATCAATCAAACACACCTAACCTTGTTCCCACAGATTAGCCAGGCAGTTAACAAAGTTCCTTACTTCCTTCATAGCGATTTATAGCAGCAATAGAAGTATACCACCCAGGAGGGCACACCTCCTTCCACCCAGGAACTTATAAATGTCAAGGAATTTCTACTGAAATCGAGAGGAACCTGCACAATGGGGATCTCCACGGTCATCTTCCAAATATGTCTTTTATGGGGTCAAGTTCTTTCTTCAGGTATTTTATCTCATTATTTCTATTCATGGATTGTGCTTCTGCAAGCCTGGGTCCTGGTGGGTTAGATGAATTTGTTCGTGGCTGTGTGACTGTCCGTCTCAAGAAGGTTATTGGCTAATAACTGTAAATTCTTGCAAGCATGCAGAAGGAATGCTCTGTTTCTGCCTGAGAGCTACAAATGGTGGCTGTGAGAAAAGGCGGCCATTCTGTCGATGTTTTCAGGGAGTCGTTCAATGAAGGGAATGATTGGCCACACTTAGACGTCCACAGGCTAGGAAAGGCTTATGGGCATTAAAAAGAGGCCTTAAACCTTGCTAAATACACAGGTGGTGTGCTGTGAAGACGGACAGAGACAGCCTTCTGTCAACACTCCGCAAGTGCCTTATCTCTTGTCTGTCTGGCTCTGTGGCCAATATTTGCTGAGCAAAGCTGGGTCAGGTGACTGACAGACAGGACGTTGTCACCGTGCTAGTCGCTTTCTTTCACTCAGTCACTCTAACACGGTTTCATGTTCTCAGAGTGTCAAATTATGAGCAAGGAAGACTTACCTGGCCAGTCCTTGGCACGGTTGAATCTGTCTACCTGCTTGCTCGCTCTCTCTCCTCTCTCTCCCTCCTCTCTATCTTTTCTCTCTCTTTCTCTGTCTCTGCCCATCTCTCTCTCTTTTCTGTCTCACCGTCTCTGTCTCTCTCTCCTCCCCTACCTCCCCCATTCCTGGAATCTTATCTCTTCATCTCCTCGTAGTTCTTTTTTCCTTCCTTCCCTCCTTTGTCTCCTTTCTTTAATCTTCCCTTTCTCCCTTCCTTCCTTCCTCCCTTCCTTCCTTCCTTCCTTCCTTCCTTCCTTCCTTCCCTTCTTCACACACCCTGACTTCCCCCACTTTGGTGTCACTTTTGGCTACATTTCATATTTTTTCTAGATATCCAGATGAATTCCATAATGATCATCCTCTCCAGGCTGGGTGGGAGTCTGCTGAAGATGAAAACTCATTTGGGGGATGGCATTCGTGAGAACACCTTCTCAACACCAAACCCTCAGGCTTGCACTGCTGACCAAGGGGTTCTAGACTGAGGCAGCCTGGAACTAGACAGGCTGTCTTCTTGGAGACTGTGAAATGGGAGGCAGGGCCAGCTTTCAGGGTGACAGTCTTGCTCTGTCCCTGCCCAGTGACCTGAAATCACCAGTCCCGGAGGACAGATAACCAATTGTCTTGTGCTGTCCACAAAGAAACAAACGCAGCAGCACTATGGGAGTTTGTGATTTTAACATCTACGCTTATACACAGTTATGCACGTGTGCATGCATGCGTGCCTTCTTGCATGTTTATTCAAGCTGTGGCTTCAGCGCACAGAGGAGAACTGACCCTCTTCCACATGAGCTTCTCCAATTCAAGCCTGGTGACACCCCAAAGTTAGGCATCATCACCTCCATCGTTCATCTGGGGGACACTAAGGCTCAGGAGACAGGCCATCTGGCAGTTGGGCCAGAGTTTGAACCCAGAGTAGGGTCTGTCAGAACTGCGATAGTAGCTGTGGTGGGTACAGCCGTGGCCTCCTCATTCAGGGAGCAGAGGGGGCAAATCTGTTGCATGGGTGACCTCAGTGCTGTACAAAGTCAGGTGCACGGCTCACACTGGGCAGGAGGGTGGCTCTGGCCCCTCTGCTGCTCGGTGACAGAGCCAGGAACACAAGAACATTGTTGGGACAGCAGTGGTGCCGCAGCCTCTCTCCTGCAGTAGACCTCAGTGTACGCACTCACAAATGAGGCAATGTCCTCTGTTCTACAAAGGGTTCTCAAGGAGTGAGGTCACCCAGGTAGGGCTATCAGGTAGAATAAGCCTCAGGATGATGGGTGTCCTATTATAGACATTCCCCTAATGCTGTATCCCTTAGGGTAGTGTGGATCTTGGAATATCTCCCAGAAGAGGAGACTTGGGAATAATCCAAATAAGGCCAGGCAGGAGTGGGTAGCAGGGCACTGCCTTGGATTGTCAGCTGTGGCAAAACGCACTGTGAGATGCAGGATGCTGTAGCTGGGCACAGGGAGAGAGTAAGTGGCTGTGGGAACTTGGTGGAACTTGGTGGAACTCCGTGGGATTTTTTTGCTACGTTCTTTTAAATCTAAAATTAGCTAAAAAATAAAAAGAAACAAAAAATCTTTTTAACTTTACCTCCTTTGTTCGCATAACTTTACCGCCTTTGTTCACATTCCTTTCTAGCCAGTGTTTTATAGGGTGAGGGAGCCGCCTGTGAAGACATTCCTGGCAGGCTCCTTATTTGTGCTTAGCCATCTTCAGTGTGGCTGAAATTGTGTTCTATTTCCTAGGAAAGGCAGGGGAAATTTGAGCGAGGGCTTCCAGGCATTGTGAGTGGTGCTGGTTGGGGAGGCTCCTTGAGTTGCTGACATAATGGGCCCCAAATTTGTCACAGCTGTTCCTTTTCAATTTCATCATTGCTGAGCTAATACATCCCTGGGCACACAGAACGACACTACTGAATGCTACTGAATATGGGGGTCCTAAGGCTTCACCACGGTCCCGACTCCAAGCCTGCAGGCTGGCACCTCCCAGTCCCGTGCTGTCTCTGTGTCTCTGCCCCTGCACACTGACATCTTCATGTCTCTCCGTGTTCTTGCTGGTTCCTACATGGCTTATCTCACGGAGAGATGTCTCTCTGTATACCTGGGCTGTTGGCTTTCAAGTACTAATTCTCCAGTCTCAGCCCCACAGTACCAGGATTGTAACTTTGAGACACCGTGCTCAGCACATTTTCTGGTTTTCTTTATTCTCCTTATTATAAAGGGTCCTGCAGGTCACTCACTGCACAAAGCTGTGGTTGCTACAGTGCAGCTCCAACATCGCCACCTGTAGCCACAGTCAGCTCACTCTTGCTGCTCTGGTCTCTAGAGCCAGTCTGTTTATCCTCTCCTTCACTAGCTTGTTCTACCTGCTCGTTGATGGCCAGGGACATTGTCCCCCTTAGGAGACCCTTCCTGATTCATACTCAACCTACTTAGAAACACACACACACACACACACACACACACACACACACACACAGAAATAGCCATACTTACATAGATACTTGTATGGAGAGAAATATACAGAGAGATACATACAACAGCACAGAAAAACATACACATATATTCTCACATACAAATATGCACATGGCAGACAGATGTGATACAGAGACAAAGTTTTACATACAAATAGACAAAGACACACACATATAGGCACACGGACACATTCAAACCCAGACAGATACATAGAGACAGATGTGGACATTAACACACAAGCACACACATACACTGAATGTCATCCAGTGGCCATTCACATTCTTACACTGCCTCTCAGCTAGACCTTGCCCCCTGTACAAGACTATCTGTTGGTGTCTTCAGAGGCCTACTTATGCTAGAATTCTCAAGACGGCAGGGAACACACCTCGCTCACTTAGTGCCCAGCTTGGTACATGCACCAAGAGCCTAACGGTGTGCCTGGCTCACAAGAGTACATTACAACAAACAGGACAGAGGATGCCTCCTGTCAAACCCTGCTGTTTCCATAATATATGCATATACAAACTCACATATATGTACACATGCTAAACCAGGAACAGCATTAACTACAACCTCACCATTCCCGAGAAGTTAACTCAGTCTCCATAGGAGGTTGGTTGGTTCTAAGAATTCCCTTGCTTATACCCAACCCCTCCCATACTCAAGTCTTCCTATAAACTGTTGTGTGACCCTCACTTGTCCTCCTGCATCCTTCCAGTCCTCCCCAGTTACAGCCCCTGACAGAACACCAAGGCTGTGGTGGTCGTTACCATGCCTCAGTGCTCCTGGGATGAGGGCAGAGTGAAAACTTCTGTCTGCTCAGTACAGGTGCAGGTTTGTTTCCTCATAGTTTTGGTCCATTGCCTGTGTAATCTGTGAATTAAGTCACGGTGCCTGTGTAATGTGTGACGGATCCCATGGAGTCTGTGTAATCCGTGAAGGAAGCCGTGGGCACTGAGTGCTGATTGGAATCTAGTAAGATTGTTTTACTCTTTTGATCAGTGAAAACAGAACCTCAGTGTTAGACTTTGTCTTCGGGGAGTCCACGCAGCAGAGGTGTAAGAGCTTTCAGTTCAGGACTTGGTGAACCTGATCTCGGGTGTTCCTGGTTGATCAATGAATGCATAAGAGTCAGTGTTATTGCTCCCCAGTTAGGTTTTCCCCGGGGTTCCTGTGTGTGAAACACATATTCTGAATTTGCTTTATTCTCTTACAGCTTCTCAAACAGCCTATCCAACAACTGGTAAGTACTTTGAAAAGATGAACTGTATCAGTTTAGAGTTTCCCCTATGCCATAATAAACACTGCCTCACTAAATGTTATCTACTGAGACAAGGAAGCATTAAATAACCCGTGTGTGATCTGGATATGTAATGACAACAGAAGCTTCTGCCAGCTGGAGCATAAAGGGTCAGGTGGTAACACAGGTGCAGTCTTCAATCTGATGTTGCCCCTGCCTCAGATTTCAGTGTGTGTCAGAATCTAATAGATTATCTGATTGGATTGTCTGGGATTCACATCCTTCCCTCAAGGGATTCTGACTTGGAGACCCAGAGTGGCTCAGGGGTCTGTGCTTTGGCAGATGATGTGTAAGGATAACCTTCCCTTCTCCACACTCTGGGAAATCTCCTGTCTGGCACAAGACTAATATTAGCAAGGTTACAGGGCCATTAGTTTGCTAAGACTTCAAAAAACCCAAGAAAAATAGGTACACATTCTCCTCTCTCTTTCTCTCTCTGTCTCTGTCTCTGTCTCTCTCTGTCTCTGTCTCTCTGTCTCTCTCTCTCTCTCTCTCTCTCTCTCTCTCTCTCTCTGTCTCTCTTTGAGCTCCGTGTAGGTCACACTGACCTCAGACTTGCTGTGTAGGCAAGGCTATCTACCCTTGGATGCCTAATCCTATTACCTCTAATTCCAGAGTTCTGGGATTCACGATGGGCCGCCCTGCCCAACTCTTGTTAGTCATATCTGAAATGATGTATACTTCATCTCCAACCCACTTGCTTTTATTTCCTTTTACAAAAAAATCTGATCATGACCTTGGGCAATGGACATAGCCAAGATTGAGCCACAGATTCCCCTGTCCCTAACAGGAGTGTACAGTGCAGTTGAGGCTAATTTTGTAACCTGTATGAGTTCATTTCTAAATAGTGGGTCCTTTTTTGGCTACTGGTTGGGTTGGGATTCAGTTTGCTTTCTGTTGCTGTGATAAAACCCTGGCCATAAGCAACTTGGAGGGAAAAGGGTTTGTTTGGCTCACAGGTTAGAGTTCATCATCTAGTGTAGACAAGGCGGGAGCCCAAGGCAGAAACTGATGTAGAGGCAATGGAGGAACCCTGCTTGCTGGATTCCTAGGTCATGCTTAGCTAACAATATTATACAGCTCAGGCTCATCTGCCCAGGTCAGTGTGCTGGCATTCTCCCATCAATTATCCAACAAGAGAAATTCCCACAGACATGGCCTTCCGCAGATGTGATTTAGATAAACCCAGCAGTTGAGACTCCTCCAAGTGACTCAGCTGTGGCAGGGTGACAGTGGAGCCAGCTAGGACAGGTGGTCAGCTCTGCTGCTGCTCTTGCTGCTGTCTGGTGGGATCCAAGTGCAGCTTTGGGTACAGAATCAGGGATGGAGTGGAGATGAGAGGCGTGGGTGTCAAGCTGCTGGGCAAACTCCACCAATCCCTGTCCTTCACCTTCCTTCTCCTCTCTGCCCTTCAGTCAGTTGATGGGTGAAATTAGCTTGAGCCTTGTGTCAGAAAAGCTAGCTGGAAACACTCACTGGTTCTTCCTTGCACAATGAGAGCTGTTCTTGCAAGGTAAATAACATCATCAAAGCTAGATAACTTGTTATATACCCCAACTCAAAGAGTTTTCATGTATAAAATGGATACATCAGAATTTAAAGTAGAGACTTGAGAAATGACTTAGTCATTAAGAGCTCACACTGAACTTTAGTTCTTTTTCTTTTTGGTTTTTCAACACAGGGTTTTTCTGTGTAGCTCTGGCTGCCCTGGAAGTTCCTCTGTAAATCAGGCTGGCTTCAACCTCACAGAGGTCCTCCAGCCTCTGCCGCCTGAGTGCTGAGATTAAAGACTGGTGCCATCACTGCCCAGCATAGTTTTTAGCACCCAGATTGGGCAGCTTATAACCACCTATAACTCCAACACGAGTGGCTCTGACACCCTCTTCTGGCCTCTGTGTACTGATGTGCACACACCCACACACAGACACTTGCCCGTGCACATAATTAAAAATGAAACAAGTGTTTCACAATTAAAAATATTGCACATAATCAACGCCCAACTAATACAGGTAATATGTGCTATTATCGTGAAACCTTAATATTTTGAGGTATGTATCATTAATCCCATTTTGCAAATTGAAAAATTAAGACAAAGTTAGATAATTTGTCAATATTTGCATGTCTAAGATTCTGTGACTGAAAATGGAAAGTTGTGTAGTGGTGTTTTATTTGGATTTTAATAAATAAAGTTTTCCTGAAGACCAGAGAGTAGAGCAGCCACATTGGCCATCCTTACAGACCAGGCAGTGGTGACACACACCTTTAATCTCAGTAGCCTCCCTAGCTTGCCATAGTACTGGGCAGTAGTGGTGCACACCCTTAACCATAGAACTAGAGAGGATGTGGGGAGACAGCTCTCAGCTCAGTCTCATTTTGAGGTTTTCCTGGAGGCAGAATCATGTTTTCGGACTGAGGTGAGAGCCAGTGTGGCTGTTTACCAATTTTTTTTTTTTTTCCCACTCAGGGCATGCCCATCGCTGTCCTGGGGGCTCATCTGTGTTCCCTGGTTTGTCCTTGAGTTTCATCCCGACACAGTACACATATATTTTAGTTACTTCCATGCCCTAAGTGTTTCAGCATTTGCCAGGAATTGTGGTGCACACCTTTAATGCCAGTACTTGGTAGACAGAACCAAGTAGTTTCCTGCAAGTTCAAAGTTCAATATTGTCTACATAGGATTTATAGTTTAGCCAAATCTCTCTCTCTCTCTCTCTCTCTCTCTCTCTCTCTCTCTCTCTCTCTGTGTGTGTGTGTGTGTGTGTGCGCGCGCGCGTATGAGCGTGAGACAGGGTCTTACCATGTAACCCTGGCTGAATGGGAACTCCTTAAGTAGACAATATTGAACTTGAACTAGCAGAAATCTACCTGGTTCTGCTGCCCAACTGCTTTGCTAAAATGAAACTCAAGGCTCAACCAAGAGAAACAGATGAGTCCTCAAGGTGGCAATGGGCATGAAGCACACCGTTCAGAAAGTATGGCTGTGTATCTGATCTGCAAGTATAGATAAGAACTAGGCAGAGGCAGAGCTGAAAGGAGAGGTCCCAGGGCAGGGTGGTTTCAGGAGGATGGACACAGAGCCTGGTGTGAGCCTTGGTAAGAACTGGGAGGAGAGGTGGAAAGAGTTATCAAACTTGATGTCCGCATTCCCAAAACACTGGCCCGGGGTGGCACAGGGTGGCATCTTGGATCCCAATGGAGGAGGAGACCGAGTTTGCAGTGATAGAAATGGATAACTGGAAGCTGATGGAATGTGAATCTAGAGTCTGCCCTGGGACTGTCAGAGTTAAATCAGGACTGTAGAGGTGACACTGAGGATCCCTTGCCTGGAATTTTCCAGAAAATGTGGGGTACAGCAGACTGGGAAGATGATGAAGAAGATACTATTTCAGGTCCAGTGTGGGGAACCACGTAGGACAGCACTGGAGGTCAGAGGAGGAAGGGGCACAAGGTGGTGCCCGAGCAGAACAGCATGGAGCAGCTCCCGCTGTGTCAATGCAGGTTTGCCCCTGAGGCTTGTGAATGGCGGTGACCGGTGTCAGGGCCGGGTGGAGGTCCTCTACCAAGGCTACTGGGGCACCGTGTGTGACGACAGCTGGGACACCCAGGATGCCGAGGTCGTCTGTCGGCAGCTCGGCTGTGGCCATTCGGTATCAGCACCTGGAGGGGCCCATTTTGGTCAGGGCTCAGGGAACATTCTCTTGGGAGCTGTGTACTGCTCAGGACAGGAACCCTACCTGTCCAGCTGTGAGCATGATGGCTGGTACAACCATGACTGTGGCCACAGGGAGGACGCCGGAGTCGTGTGTTCAGGTAGTGCTGCCGTTGCTTCTAGCTGTTGCATGCGCACTCTTGGGCAACACCGTGCTTACATGTGTACGTGTGCATGTATGCTTGTATGTGCACAGCACATAGCTGCTTATTCGCTTTGCTGTGAGTCATTCCCTAATTGATGTTGCACGCTGCATACATCAGTCTCTCTTCATAGATGAAGACACTTAGGCTCTGAGCGTCGCAGGCTGGGAAGTGGTGAGGACAGGCTCTGTCTCATCAGGGCTCTCTGATGCCATCACTATGAGGACTGGCATCAAGACCAGCCTTGACCTAAAGGGCAGGGTCTCTCTCTATAAAGGCAGTAGTTGATGAGGCAACTGCTGGTTCTTATGACCTAAATATCCAAATGTCTAAATTCAAAGCAAAGAGTAGCCAATATGTCTTCTTTATTGGGTATGAAATGACTAGCAAAAAGCACTCTACATGAGGGATGACAAATTCTAGCAATTCAACCAAGCAAATCCTAAAACAAGGTACTTCATTGATTATATGATATACATTCAAATACCAAGGTATCCTTCAATGTACAAAGAATTCACCCAGGAAACCAGTCCATTGTGTGTTCCCAAGAGGATTTGCTAGTTTAACCATCGATAGGCCATTGTTCTTGGTCCCTGGGAGTGTGTACATGTCACAACAAGCATAGTGTGGCTGTGGTGACCCAAACCCCACCTGAGAATAGTGTTGAAGAAGCAGGCTCCTTCAATCAGCCACTTTGTGAGCAGGTTTCCTCTGCCATTCTGCTGAAATCTCTGGAAGTCCCCTCTCTTTCTGGTTGGGGCCACTTTCTCAGGCATATTTTAGTGATGGCAAATGTTTATAGTGAGATGTTACATTTGAACTACAGAAATAGCCAGATAACTTTTTGAATTCAGATTTCATCTGGCTGTTTCATATCTTGAACCTCACTAGGGGCTGCTATTGAACTGGGTGGTACTTGGGATGGAATAGAAGCAGAGGAGTTGAATGAGGGTGAAGGAGAAAAAATACTCATGGAGACATCTCAGCATCAAAGCAATAGAAAGATCAGCATTAGATTCTACAAGGACAAATGACATCGTATCAGTGTGAGAAGGCCTTTAGCCTGGGAGATGTCAGCTCCAGCTTCTGAGATCCAAGTGAAGACCAACATCCAGTGACTTCTTTCTTTCTCATTCTGCAGATGTTATCTATGAGACTACAAGCGTGCCCACAGAAAGTAAAATGTTTTATATGGTATCTTTGTGGCCTTATTGTCCCTAGAGCCTACAGGTACACCTTTGATACAGTAGATCGGCAGAAGGCAGAGAATGTCGATCTTAATCTCCCATGGGAAATTTCTCAACAAGATTTCAAGTTTACAAGTCATTTATGCCATGGATTAAATTCCTGTAGGGTGTGGGGATCTTCCTGAAGAGTTATCTGCAAGGGGCTTCAAGGTATTCTTGTTTCTGTGGTCTGTTGATGATCCACAAAGCCCTTAGGCCCCCATGTTTCACACCGTACCTTGGTCAGCCTACGGAGCTGAGTTTGCCTTTGGTGTTTGGAGAGGAAGACAAAGTCAGCTTAACCACAACACTTGTCCTATCCTTCCCTCTGGGCCATAGAAAGCTCTCTGGGAAGTCCTGATGCTCCACCATTGACATCACAGATGCTGTTTTCCTCTCTGACGTCCTCCAGTGAGAGATGTTGGTGGCACATCAGAACAGTTTAGAGCCTGTCAGCCTGGGCTCTGGGAAGGAAAATCACTTCCTTTCCTCCAGAGGGATTTTTGATTCTAGGTCATCAGCAATAACAGTCTCCATCCACACGAAGGCCCCTGGCCAGCCCAAAATTCCTTGGGAATCTAAACGGCGCACAGATCAGCCGTTGTTTTTCCTTAGGCATGTTGGGTATCTCAAGGATGAGTCTTGCTTTATTGTAACTTAGCCATATTTCCCCTCAAGATTCTACCTTTTCTTATTTGTAACATGTATACAAGGAGAATCCGTTTTCTCCTCTGTGTTGGTGCCCCTACAGGACATTCTTAGGTAGCAGATACTCTTTGATGCTTGATAGGCTCTATGATGGAACTGTATCAGTCAGATTGAAGGGCAAGGGAAGGCTGGACAAGTCTCTGACACAGTTTTGCAGGAGATAGCTTTTCTAGAGCTGTTTGTATCAGGACCTACTGTGTGGGAAGAGGTCAACTTCCTTCATTTCCAGTGACTCAATAGAGGCTGGGTGTTTGACATCAATGGATTCATCTCCAGAAATCTCCTCTCTAAGCAGCAGGACGAAGTTCTAGAGCCAGGGCACATTTTGAACAATTTACACATGTGTTTTTAAACTAGTATATTATTTAAAAGTGGCATATTAGAAGCATTTCCACTAAAGTAAGAGCAATGAACTAGGCATGGTTATACACAGACACACACACACACACAGACACACACACACACTCATAAACACACAATTCAAGCACTAGGGAGACTGAATAAGGAGGATCTTGAGTTTCAGTGTAGCCTAGGGTACACTGTAAGAAATTGAATTAAAAAAATATTATTTATATACAAAAAATTCAAACAGGCATTCCAACACTTTGCTAGTTTATATTATATTGGACATAATAGCCAATGCAATTAGATAAGAACAATTAATTAGTTTTTTTAAGGATGTAACATTTTTGTATTGATTCCCCAGATTCAATACAAGCCAAACATAGGCTTTAGAGTTAGGGTCTGTAGGTTAACGCCATTTTCTACAAACATAGCCTTTTAGATTGGGAGAACTCAAGACGATCTAGATTTCTCCCCCATCTTGAGTCACATAGCATTACACAGTAGAGAGCCTGAATCCCATCCCATCAGCAGTTTTAACTGTACTTGTATGCCTGACCTTTTCTCAATGGAGACTTAACTTCATGTTTCTTTCTCATCCATATATGAACGTGTAGAGATCACCACTCCAGAGCCGACTACCACTGAAGTGCCCCCCAGCACTCTCCCAATAGGTAACTAAAGTTGTATAAATCTCTCTCTGGTGTAAGTTGTAATGTCAGTGTTGGCCATGCCTTTCTGGACACACTTAACGGGATGTGTATGTGTGTGTATATGTGTGTGTGTGTGTGTGCGTGCGCGTGTGTGTAGTATTGTGAAATCTTAGAGAAGCTAGGATAAGGTCCTGGTTGTTGGAGCTTTCCTCTATCGTGACCCTTTGTCTCTGTGTGGAGGAGTCAGTCAGCAATGGAGTGGATTTCTCCACAGTCTCTAAATTTAATGTTATGTCAGAAGAAACTCTGGGTTAGAGGAACTAGGTAAGACAAGCTTTCAGAGAGGTTTCCATAGCAAAAGGAGACTGATGATATCTTGTGGGATCCAATCTGAGTTCCTTCAAAGGGTCCCGTTAGTCCAGTGCAAAACCCATGCAGACCTTGGTCTTGTCTAAACATGTTGGGTACTTAAAGCTTGACTTTAGTGGTAAGTTCACATCAGTTGTCTTGAGACCAGTAGTGACAAAATTCAGGTCTTTCTAGTGTGCTGTTATTGAAATCAGAGGGTGAGCTCATGGGGCAGTCTCCTGACCCAGCTCAGCGGGGTGAACAATAGCTTTTATTCATGCTTAATACTGTTTTATTGGGCCTGAAAAAACAGTTCTGGTAACACATCTCACACTTGTCTGGGTAAGCAGCCGGTGAGAGCCTTTGCCAAGAACCATGAACTTGTCTTCTGCTAGAAAGCTCATCAATCTGTCCCTTCGGTCAGTCACAGAGAAGTGTGGGTCAGGGTGGGGCTGGATGTACCCGTGTGCAGTCTGTGCGTTAGGAGTTGTGGGGCTATGATTTCTCTATGTCCGTGAAAGACCCCACATTGACCAGTATATGTTAGTATCCTGAAGAGTGTATTGCACTCAGAGGTCTTAGTTACAAGATGCAGCAGGTGTCTGCCCACCATCCAGGATAGATTCAACCCATGTCAACCCTGCACACACATAGCCCTCCTGGTGACAGACAGACCTTTCCTGTCTAGAGCAGAAGCAGCGAGCATTCAGTGAGGGTGAAAGGGCAAGTGATAGGGGTAAGGTCTTTCCATGACAGGGTGCCCAAAGGCAACAGTGGCGGGTTTCACGTGCTGTATTGACTTAAACCCCATGAAAGAGCTGTCCAGGAATGCACATGCGCCATCATCCACACAGGAACAATGAAGGAGAATCCCTCTTGTCTTTCCAGGAACAGGGTTTGATTTTGCTGTGAGGCTGGTGAATGGAGGAGACCGGTGTCAGGGTCGCGTGGAGATCTTTTACCAGGGTTCCTGGGGCACCGTGTGTGACGACGGCTGGGACATAAATGATGCCAATGTGGTGTGCAGACAGCTGGGCTGTGGCTGGGCCGTGTCTGCCCCTGGATACGCCCAGTTTGGACAGGGCTCTGGGCCCATTATCCTGGATGATGTGGCTTGCTCAGGGTACGAGTACTATCTGTCGAGCTGCTCCCACCAAGGGTGGCACTCCCACAACTGTGGACACCAGGAGGATGCTGGAGTCATCTGCTCAGGTATGACCAGAGATCCTTAGCTCTCACAGCCATTACTGGGATATGGTTTGGTTCCTTCAGCCCCCCATCTCCATTCTGGCATTGTTTATTTCTAAGGCTGGTGAATAGCCAGAGCCCTGCCATTCTCAGCCAGTCGTGTTTGTTTTCACTCTTTTTCTCTTTTGGCTCCTTGCTCTTGCAAGCCAACAGCTGAGTTCCCAAATAAATCACACACAGAGATTTATTCTTGTATTTAAGTACCTAGCCTTAGATTGGCCTTTAAAGTTAGCTTTTCTTAAATTATCCCATCTCTCTTTTGCATCTGAGCTTTTACTTTTTCTATTCCTATACACCTGTCAGTACTTCTTACTCTGTGACTGGCTGTGTAGCAGGGTGTTTGGCTGCCGAATCCTCTTCTTCTTCTCCTCTTGCTCTTTCTCTCAGATTTCTCCTCCCATTTATTCTCTCTGCCTGCCAGACATGCTCATCCTCTCATGCCAAGCTATTGGTTATTCAGTCCTTTATTAGCTCAGTCAGGTGATTTTTTTTTCATGGCAGGGTTTCTCTGTAGCTCTGTAGCCTGTCCTGCAACTAGCTCTTGTAGACCATAGCACCTCGAACTCACAGAGATTCCTCTTCCTCTGCCTACTGAAGGCTGGGATTAAAGGTGTGTGTCACCATCACGTGGCCTAACTGCTCTTTCTATAGTCCAGAAGCATTGTCTTCTTTTAGAAAACCTTTCATGATTTATACTCAACAGAGTTAGAAACACACACACACCGGCACACACACCGGCACACACACACACACACACACACACACGCACACACACACACGCACGCACGCACATACACACCGGTATACAAAGAGATATAATTAAACTTATGTAGATTAGTTTGCATAGATAGAAACATACAGAGAGAAACATCCATAAACAAGAAACACATCTGCATATATTCTCACATGCAAATATTCACATCACTGACAGATATTACACAAAGACACATTTTATACATAAATACACCCCAACACAAACATGCACACCTGCATACAGACATACATAGACACACGAAACGAAACCGACCAATAGAGACAGATATGGATGGAGACACAAATACACTTTATGTTATCAACTGGCCATTCCTATTCTACCACTACATCTCAGCTAACACTTGCCCCTTGTACAAGACTGTCTGTTGATGTCTTCAGGGACCTGACTATGCTAAAAGTCTCTGGATGGCAGGGAACACACCTTATCCACTTAGTGCCAAGTAATAGATATGAACCAAGAGCCTAACAGGGTGCCTGGCTCACACGAATGTATTTCAACAAGCAGGACAGAGGATATAATTGTGAGTAGCTCAAACTCAGGCTTTCTTCCATACCTGAGCATCCCAGCTGTTTCTGTAATATAGGCCTATACATACACACACATACCCACACATATGTTAAACCAGGAACAACACTAACTACATCCTCACCATTCCTGAGCAATTGTCTCAGTCTCCATAGGATCTTGGTTCTAAGAAGTCCCTTGCTTATACTCAAACCCTTCCATACTCAACCTTTATAAATTCTGTTGTGTGACCCACACGTCTCCTGCATTTTTACAGTCATTCCCAGTTACAGCCCCTGATAGAACACCAAGGCCGTGTAAGTCGTTGCTGTAACTCAGTACTCCTGGGGTGAGGGCAGAGTGAAAGTTTCTGCCTGCTCAGTACAGGTGCAAGGGTTCCCCCATTTTATGATCCACTGCCTGTGTAACCCATGAAGGAAGCCAAGGACACAGAGTGCTGATTGGAATATTACTAAGGCTGTTTTGCTCTTTTCACCAAGACAAATGGAATTTCAGTGTTAGATTTTGTCTTTGGAGAGCCCATACAGCAGAAGTGTAAGAGCTTTCTGTTCAGGGTGGACTTGACCTTGGGTGTTCCTGGGTGATCAATGCATAAGAGTCAGCGCTATTGCTCCTCACTTAGGATTTCCCCAGGTTTCCTGTGGGTGAAACACACAATCTGAATTTGCTTTATTCCCTTACAGATTCTCAAGCAAGCTATTCAACACCTGGTAAGTACTTTGAAAAGATGAACTGTATCAGTTTAGAGTTTCCCCTATGTCATAATAAACACTGCCTCACTAAATGTTATCTACTGAGACAAGGAAGCATTAAATAATCTGTGTGTGATCTGGACATGTAATGACAACAGAAGCTTCTGCCAGCTAGAGCATAAAGGGTCAGGTGGTAACACAGGTGCAGTCTTCAATCTGATACTGTCCCTGCCTCGAATTTTAGTATGTGTCAGAATTTAATATAATATCTGATTGGATTGTCTGGGATTCATATCCTTCCTTCATGGAATTCTGACTTGGAGACCCAGAGTGGCTTAGGGGGTCTGTACTTTGTCAGATGATGTGTAAGGATAACCTGCCCTCCTCCACACTCTGGGAAATCTGCTTGGTACAAGACTAATAAGACTTTAAGGCTTGCAAGCATATAGGCCCATTAGTTTTCTAAGCCTTCAAAAAACAACAACAACAAAAAAATATGTCCACGCTATTTATTTAATTATTTAGTTTTGACACCCATGTAGCCCAGGCTGGTCTCAGGCATGATGTATAAACAAGGCCACTTCATAAACAGTCAGGGTGGAAGAGATATAGTGAGAGTGTAGGCAGAGTGAGGGAGAATCCATGTACCCACTGCAGGAAATAGACATGAGATGCCAGAGAGAACCAGTAGTCCACAACTACATGGCGATACACAGATTAATAGAAATGGGTTACTTTAAGATGTAAGAGCTAGCTAGAAATATGCATAAGATAATAGGCCAAGGAGTGTTTTAATTAACAAAAAAAAAAAAAAAAACTAGGCCACTTGAACTCCTGACACCCTTGTTTCTAGTTCAGGAGATCTGGGATTCAAGGATTGTGCCACCATGCCCAACTCTTGTTTATCATATCTGAAATGCTGTATACTTCATCTATAGCCCACTTGTTTTTAATTTCCTTTTGCAAATAAATCATTTTGACCAAGTACTTGGGCAGTGCACACAGCCATGACGGCACCACAGATCACCCTATACCCAGAAGAGTGTACAGGGCAGTTGAAGCTAACTTTGTAACCTGAAGGAGTTCATTTCTAAGCAGTGAACCCTCTTCTAAACTTTGTTTGGTTTTTCTTCAGGCTAGTGAATCCCAGAAGTGACATCTAAGGCCTTCTCCTTTGTTCTTAGTCTCTGATTAGTGGCTACTCATTGGATTGGTATTCAGTGGGCTTTCTGCTGCAGTGGTAAAACACTGGCCACAAGCTACTTGGGGGAGGCAGGGTTTATTTAGCTTAAAGTTTATTGTCTATCATCCAGTGAAGCCAGGGCACGAGCCCAGGGCAGAGGAGCCTGAGGCAGGACCTGATGCAGAGGCCTTACAGGATCCCTGCTTGCTGACTTCCAAACTCATACTTAGTCAGCAATTTTATACTATACAGGCTCATCTGATAAGGTCAGTGGGATGGCATTCTAAAGCTGCTGAGTGGCGGTGACCAGTGTCAGGTTGGGTGGAAGTCCTGTACAAAGGCTACTGGTGCACTGCATATAATGACAGCTGGGACATCCAGGATGCCGAGGTCGTCTGATGGCAGCTTGGCTGTGACCATTCTGTATCAGCACCTGGAGGGGCCCACTGTGTCATGCCTCAGAGAGCATTCTCTTTGGAGCTGTGTACTGATCAGGATGAGATCCCTACCTGTCCAGCCATCAGCATGATGGCGGGGACAACCATGACTGTGGCCACAGAGAAGACGCCAGAGTCACATTCATTACCCAATTCAGACCCCAAGTCAGCAGATTTAACTGTACTTGCATGTCTCTGGTTTTCTCAATGGAGACTTGATTTCATATTTTCCATTTTCCTCTCCAATCTGTACCCGAACATGCAGAGCCGACCACTCCAGAGCCTTTCACCAGCCCAGAGGTGACCACCACTCCTCCTGATACAACAGTAGGTAAGGAAATGGTACAGATGTTTCTCTGTAGGTGGTAATGCTAGTGTCATTCATGGTGTGGGCTTTCCTGAGACACGCAAGGGTGTGTGTGTGTGTGTGTGTGTGTGTGTGTGTGTGTGTAATGAAAACTTAAAGAAGGTGGGCTTGACTCCTGATCCACGGGGCTTTCCTTTACTGAGGCACCTGTGACTTCCGATTTGTCTCTCTCTGTGTAGAGGAGACAGTCAGCATGGGGTGGGTTTCAAATTTCCATAGTCTCAAAATTTAGTGTTATGTCAGAAGAATCTGTGTTAGAGGATCATCATAAGACAAGCTTCCAGAGAGGTTTCCGTGGCAAAAGGAGGCTGATGATATATTATGGGATCCATTCTGAGTCCCTTCAAAGGGGTCCCTTGCAGATCAGTGCAAAACCCATGCGGACCTTTGTCTTCTCTAGACTGGTTGGGTACTTGAAGCTTGACTGCAGTGGTAAGTTCACATCAGTGGTCCTGGTAACCAGCAGCGACAAAGTTCGGGGTTCTCTAGTGTGCTCTTATTGTAGACAGAAGGTGAGCCCATGGGGCAGTCTCCTGACCCAGCTCAGTTGGGTGAGCAATAGCCTCTATTCAAGTTGAATACTGTTTTATTGGGCCTGAAAAAACAGTTCTGTTATCACATCTCACCCTTGTCTGGGTAAGCAACTGGTGAGAGCCTTTGCCAAGAACTCATGAACTTGTCTTCTGCCAGGCAGCTCATCGTTCTGTCCCTTTTGTCTGTCGGAGAAAAACCTCCTCTACCTTATGCTCTAGCGATGACAGGTGTGGGGCTAGATGTGCCCGAATGCAGTCTTTGTGTTAGGAGTTGTGGGGCTGTGATTGCTCTCTCTCTCCTTGAAACACCCCACATTCTCTAATGTATGTCATCATCCAGAAGAGTGTATGGCACTCAGAGGTCTTAGTTACAAGATGCAGCAGGTGTCTGCCCACCATCCAGGATAGATTCAACCCATGTCAACACTGCACACACATAGCTCTCCTGGTGACAGACAGACCTGTCCTGTCTAGAACAGAAGCAGCAAGCATTCAGTGAGGTTGCAAGGGCAAGAGATAGGGGTAAGGTCTTTCCAAGACAGGGTGCCCAAAAAGCAACAGGGTAGGGGCTCACGTGCTATAGTGCCTTAAACCCCATGAAAGAGCTGTCCAGGAATGCACATGCGCCGTCATCCACACAGGAACAATGAAGGAGAATCCCTCTTGTCTTTCCAGTAACAGGGCTTGATTTCGCTGTGAGGCTGGTGAATGGAGGAGACCGGTGTCAGGGTCGCGTGGAGATCTTTTACCAGGGTTCCTGGGGCACCGTGTGTGACGACAGCTGGGACACCAATGATGCCAATGTGGTGTGCAGACAGCTGGGCTGTGGCTGGGCTGTGTCTGCCCCCGGAAACGCCCGGTTTGGACAAGGCACAGGGCTCATCGTCCTGGATGACGTGGCCTGTACAGGGCACGAGTACTATCTGGCAAGCTGCTCCCACCGAGGCTGGCTCTCCCACAACTGTGGACACCCGGAGGACGCTGGAGTCATCTGCTCATGTATGACCAGAGATCCTTAGTTCTCAAGCAATTACTGGGATATGGTTTGGTCCCTTTTCAGCCCCCCATCTCCATTCTGGCATTGTTTATTTCTAAGGCTGGTGAATAGCCAGAGCCCTGCCATTCTCAGCCAGTTGTGTTTTTTTTCACTCCCTTTCTCTTTTGACTCCTTGCTCTTGCAAGCCAGCCGCTGAGCTCCCAAATAAATCACACACAGAAATTTATTCTTGTATTTAAGTTCCTAGCCTTAGCTTGGCCTTTAAAGTTAGCTTTCCTTAACTTAAATTATCCCATCTCTCTTTTGCATCCGAGCTTTTACTTTCCCTATTCCTATACACCTGTCAGTACTTCTTACTCTGTGACTGGCTGTGTAGCAGGGTGTTTGGCCGCCGACTCCTCTTCTCCTTCTCCTCTTGCTCTTTCTCTCAGATTTCTCCTCCCATTTATTCTCTCTGCCTGCCAGACCTGTTCAACTTTTCATGCCAAGCTATTGGTTATTCAGTCCTTTATTAGCTCAGTCAGGTGATTTTTTTTTCCTGGCAGGGTTTCTCTGTAGCTCTGTAGCCTGTCCTGGAACTAGCTCTTGTAGACCATAGCACCTCGAACTCACAGAGATTCCTCTTCCTCTGCCTACTGAAGGCTGGGTAAAGGTCTGTGCCACCGCCACCTGCCTAACTGCTCTTTCTAAATTCCAGGGATATTTTCCCGTTTAGAAAACCCTTCCTGATTTATACTCAACAGAGTTAGAAACACACGCACACCCGCACACCCGCAAACACACACACACACACACACACACACACACACCTGCCCGCAGACACACACACATGCACATACACACAGGTATACACAGAGATATAACTAAACTTATATAGATTAGTTTGCATAGGTAGAAACATACAGAGAGATACATCTATAAACAGAGAAACACATACATATATTCTCGCATGCAAATATTCACAACACAGACAGATATGACACAAAGACACATTTTACACATAAATACACACGCCCACATGCACACCTGAACATAGACAGACATTGACATATGAAGCAAAACAGACCCATAGAGACAGATATGGATGGAGACACACATACACTTTATGTTATCCTCTGGCCATTCCTATTCTTCCACCACATCTCAGCTAACACTTGCCCCTTGTACAAGACTGTCTGTTGATGTCTTCAGGGACCTGACTATGCTAAAAGTCTCTGGATGCCAGGGAACACACCTTGTCCACTTAGTACCAAGTTTGATATATGAACCAAGAGTCTAACAGGGTGCCTTGCTCACACGAATGTATTTCAACAAGCAGGACAGAGGATATAATTGTGAGTAGCTCAAACTCAGGCCTTCTTCCAGACCTGAGCAGCCCTGCTGTTTCTGTAATATAGGCCTATACATACACACACATACCCACACATATGTTAAACCAGGAACAACACTAACTACATCCTCACCATTCCTGAGCAATTATCTCAGTCTCCATAGGATCTTGGTTCTAAGAAGTCCCTTGCTTATACTCAAACCCTTCCATACTCAATCTTTATAAACTGTTGTGTGACCCACACGTCTCCCGCATTTTTACAGTCATTCCCAGTTACAGCCCCTGATAGAACACCAAGGCCGTGTAAGTCGTTGCTGTAACTCAATCCTCCTGGGGTGAGGGCAGAATGAAAGTTTCTGCCTGCTCAGTACAGGTGCAAGGGTTCCCCCATTTTATGATCCACTGCCTGTGTAATCCATGAAGGAAGCCAAGGACACAGAGTGCTGATTGGAATATTACTAAGGCTGTTTTGCTCTTTTCACCAAGACAAATGGAATTTCAGTGTTAGATTTTGTCTTTGGAGAGCCCATACAGCAGAAGTGTAAGAGCTTTCTGTTCAGGGTGGACTTGACCCTGGGTGTTCCTGGTTGATCAATGCATAAGAGTCAGCGCTATTGCTCCTCACTTAGGTTTTCCCCAGGTTTCCTGTGGGTGAAACACACAATCTGAATTTGCTTTATTCCCTTACAGATTCTCAAGCAAGCTATTCAACACCTGGTAAGTACTTTGAAAAGATGAACTGTATCAGTTAGAGTTTCCCCTATGTCATAATAAACACTGCCTCATTAATGCTATCTAATGAAACAAGGAAGCATTAAATAATCTGTGTGTGATCTGGACATGTAATGACAACAGAAGCTTCTTCAGCTGGAGCATAAATGGTCAGGTGGTAATACAGGTGCAGTCTTCAATCTGATACTGTCCCTGCCTCGAATTTTAGTATGTGTCAGAATTTAATAGAATATCTGATTGGATTGTCTGGGATTCATATCCTTCCCTCATGGCAAACTGACTTGGAGACCCAGAGTGGCTTAGGGGGTCTGTGCTTTGTCAGATGATGTGTAAGGATAACCTGCCCTCCTCCACACTCTGGGAAATCTGCCTGGTACAAGACTAATAAGACTTTAAGGCTTGCAAGCATATAGGCCCATTAGTGTTCTAAACCTTCAAAAAACAACCAAAAAAAAATATGTCCACGCTATTTATTTAATTATTTAGTTTTGACACCATTGTAGCCCAGGCTGGTCTCAGGCATGATGTATAAACAAGGCCACTTCAGAATACAGTCAGGCTGGAAGAGATATAGTGAGAGTGTAGGCAGAGTCAGGGAGAATCCATGTACCCACTGCAGGAGATAGACATGAGATGCCAGAGAGAACCAGTAGTCCACAGCCATATGGCGATACACAAATGAATAGAAATGGGTTACTTTAAGACGTAAGACCTAGCTAGAAATATGCATAAGCTTATAGGCCAAGGAGTGTTATATTCACAACAAATACAACAACAAAACAAGGCCACTTGAACTCCTGATACCCTTGCTTCTAGTTCAAGAGATCTGGGATTCCAGGATTGTGCCACAATGCCCAACTCTTGTTTATCATATCTGAAATGCTGTATACTTCATCTATAGCCCACTTGTTTTTAATTTCCTTTTGCAAATAAATCATTTTGACCAAGTACTTGGGCAGTGCACACAGCCTTGACGACACCAAAGATCACCCTATACCCAGAAGAGTGTACAGGGCAGTTGAAGCTAACTTTGTAACCTGAAGGAGTTCATTTCTAAGCAGTGAACCCTCTTCTAAACTTTGTTTGGTTTTTCTTCAGGCTAGTGAATCCCAGAAGTGACATCTAAGGCCTTCTCCTTTGTTCTTAGTCTCTGATTATTGGCTACTCATTGGATTGGTATTCAGTGGGCTTTCTGCTGCAGTGGTAAAACACTGGCCACAAGCCACTTGGAGGGGGGCAGGGTTTATTTAGCTTAAAGTTTATTGTCTATCATCCAGTGAAGCCAGGGCACGAGGCCTGGGCAGAGGAGCCTGAGGCAGGAACTGATGTAGAGGCCTTACAGGATCCCTGCTTGCTGACTTCCAAACTCATACTTAGTCAGCAACTTTATACTATACAGGCTCATCTGATAAGGTCAGCGGGATGGCATTCTAAAGCTGCTGAGTGGCGGTGACCAGTGTCAGGTTGTGTGGAAGTCCTGTACAAAGTCTACTGGTACACTGCATATAATGACAGCTGGGACATCCAGGATGCCGAGGTCGTCTGATGGCAGCTTGGATGTGACCATTCTGTATCAGCACCTGGAGGGGCTCACTGTGTCAGGCCTCAGAGAGCATTCTCTTTAGAGCTGTGTACTGATCAGGATGAGATCCCTACCTGTCCAGCCGTCAGCATGATGGCGGGGACAACCATGACTGTGGCCACAGAGAAGACGCCAGAGTCACATTCATTACCCAATTCAGACCCCAAGTCAGCAGATTTAACTGTACTTGCATGTCTCTGGTTTTCTCAATGGAGACTTGATTTCATATTTTCCTTTTTCCTCTCCAATCTGTACCCGAACATGCAGAGCCGACCACTCCAGAGCCTTTCACCAGCCCAGAGGTGACCACCACTCCTCCTGATACAACAGTAGGTAAGGAAATCGTACAGATGTTTCTCTGTAGGTGGTAATGCTAGTGTCATTCATGGTGTGGGCTTTCCTGAGACACGCAAGGGTGTGTGTGTGTGTGTGTGTGTGTGTGTGTGTGTGTAGTGAAAACTTAAAGAAGGTGGGCTTGACTCCTGATCCACGGGGCTTTCCTTTACTGAGGCACCTGTGACTTCCGATTTGTCTCTCTCTATGTAGAGGAGACAGTCGGCATGGGGTGGGTTTCAAATTTCCATAGTCTCAAAATTTAGTGTTATGTCAGAAGAATCTGTGTTAGAGGATCATCATAAGACAAGCTTCCAGAGAGGTTTCCGTGGCAAAAGGAGGCTGATGATATATTATGGGATCCATTCTGAGTCCCTTCAAAGGGGTCCCTTGCAGATCAGTGCAAAACCCATGCGGACCTTTGTCTTCTCTAGACTGGTTGGGTACTTGAAGCTTGACTGCAGTGGTAAGTTCACATCAGTGGTCCTGGTAACCAGCAGCGACAAAGTTCGGGGTTCTCTAGTGTGCTCTTATTGTAGACAGAAGGTGAGCCCATGGGGCAGTCTCCTGACCCAGCTCAGTTGGGTGAGCAATAGCCTGTATTCATGTTGAATACTGTTTTATTGGGCCTGAAAAAACAGTTCTGTTATCACATCTCACCCTTGTCTGGGTAAGCAACTGGCGAGAGCCTTTGCCAAGAACTCATGAACTTGTCTTCTGCCAGGCAGCTCATTGTTCTGTCCCTTTAGTCTGTCGGAGAAAAACCTCCTCTACCTTATGCTCTAGCGATGACAGGTGTGGGGCTAGATGTGCCCGAATGCAGTCTTTGTGTTAGGAGTTGTGGGGCTGTGATTGCTCTCTCTCTCCTTGAAACACCCCACATTCTCTAGTGTATGTCATCATCCAGAAGAGTGTATGGCACTCAGAGGTCTTAGTTACAAGATGCAGCAGGTGTCTGCCCACCATCCAGGATAGATTCAACCCATGTCAGCCCTGCACACACATAGCTCTCCTGGTGACAGACAGACCTGTCCTGTCTAGAACAGAAGCAGCGAGCATTCAGTGAGGTTGCAAGGGCAAGAGATAGGGGTAAGGTCTTTCCAAGACAGGGTGCCCAAAAAGCAACAGGGTAGGGGCTCACGTGCTATAATGCCTTAAACCCCATGAAAGAGCTGTCCAGGAATGCACATGTGCCGTCATCCACACAGGAACAATGAAGGAGAATCCCTCTTGTCTTTTCACGAACAGGGCTTGATCTCCCTGTGAGGCTGGTGAATGGAGGAGACCGGTGTCAGGGTCGCGTGGAGATCTTGTACCAGGGTTCCTGGGGCACCGTGTGTGACGACAGCTGGGACACCAATGATGCCAATGTGGTGTGCAGACAGCTGGGCTGTGGCTGGGCTGTGTCTGCCCCTGGAAACGCCCGGTTTGGACAAGGCACAGGGCCCATCGTCCTGGATGACGTGGCCTGCAGAGGGTACGAGTATTATTTGGCAAGCTGCTCCCACAGAGGCTGGCTCTCCCACAACTGTGGACACCAAGAGGACGCTGGCGTCATTTGCTCAGGTATGACCAGAGATCCTTAGTTCTCACAGCCATTCGTGGAATATGGTTCTGTCCCTTTTAACAACCCCAGAACTCCTTTCTGGCCTTGTGCATCTCAGCCCTCTAAGACAGGTGAATACCGAGGTCACTGCCCTTTTCAGTTGGTGCTGTTGTTATTTTTATTCTTTTTCTCTTTTGGCTCCTTGCTCATTCAGAGGCCTCCCACCCAGCTCCCAATACACATACACAGTGGATAACTTTTCCTTTTAAAGGCCAGTCCTTACCCTGGCTTGTTCGAGCCAGCTTTTCTTAACTTCAATTATCCCATCTGTCTTTTTCCTCTGGGCTTTTCCCTTCTCTATTTCTGTAGACCTTTCTTTATTTCTCGTTCTGTAGTTTGCTATGTAGTTGGGTGGCTGGCTGCTACATCCTCCTTTTTTTCTCTTGCTTCTTTATCCTCTCAATTTTTCTCTTTAATTCTCTCTGCCTTCCTTCCACACTGATCCTTTCCTGCCAAGTTATTGGCCACATTCAGCTCTTTATTAGACTAATCATGTGTTTTGGAGAGGTAATGCAAAATAACTTCACAGAGGTAAATAAATATAACGTAAAAAAAAAAAACAAACCAACATATCTGCCCATCATCGAAGCAAATTCCACACCACAAACAAATGAAACTCATCTCAACATAATATTCTACAGCATTGAGTCAGGGCCTTCACAATCCTCTCAGTTATCCAGGGCTCCAGCACTCATGTGAGACAGATAATTCATGGAAGGGCAGCATCAGGCCCCAGACTTGAGAAAGCAACAGGGTCAGCATGCACACCTTCCTGCAAGGTGTAACCTAGTCCTGGTTTGCAGAGATGTAACCAGTTTCTGTAAGACTTTGCAGTGTTCAGAGGGCAAAGCAGTACAGCAAACTCACGTCTTTCCTGCCAGTGTTTCCCCGCATCCTTCTCAGAAGCACTGCAGAGAGAACCTTTTGGGAAAACTTCAATACTCTGTACTCTCTTCCCGCTGTACTAATATCAGGGTTCTCCCAGATTCAGACTCAAACGCCCAATCATTAGCACAGAAGAAGTTACAAATGACTGTTGAGGGTCGGGTATGGCAGGGTTGTCGTATGTCATGTGTCCTCAAGCCACATGGAAAGAAGTAGTGAAGCAGGAGAGAGAGAACTGCAAGCATAGCTAGAGTCCTACAGAATCCTAGTCCTGTGAGGGTGGTCCTTTAGGTGGTCATCACTCATTGCCGAGGGTACCCTTGGCTGTCTATCTGCATCACAATGCAGAGCCTTGCTGTTCTGTCCCAGAGGTGGTGGTGACTTTCTTACTTGCATTTAGGAAGCTGCAGAAGCCCAGGTCCCATCCGGGGCAGTGGAGTATAGGGTAGATCTCCATGAACTACTGCATAGCTCATGGCTCCTTCTGGAAGCCCCTGCCCTTCCATTCCAGTCTCTGCTAGGTTTGTGAAAATGCTGAGTCTGTCCTCCCTGTGATCTTGGTGAAATGCCAGGCACTTTGTTTCTTCCTGTCGTTCTACTCACAGGTGACCATTCCACACCTAGCTTGGGTGAGTTTCCCCAACTAGAACTGGAGCGTCCCTGTTCTCCTGGTCACTTTTGGTGTCAGGCTCTTTCTGTTAGCACTAGGGCACCGAGAGGACTCCTACTACTCACCTCGTCGGAGTTTTCCTACATATGTTACCTTTGTGATTATCCTTGGTCTCTGCCCATTCAAGGCTAACAAAGTCTGTGTATGAATTGTGTGAACACACCACTGGGCATATAGAACCCCACTACTGAATGCTATTGAACATGGAGGGCTGGAAGCTTCACCATGGTACTGACTACAAGCCTGCAGGGTGGCACCTCATGGTCCCATGTTATGTCTCCTGTGTCTTTGTGTCTCTGTTCGTTCATGCTAACTCCTCTGTATATTTCTGTTCCTCAATGTTCTTCTGTTTTCAACATTGCTTATCTCTCAGAGACATGTCTATCTGTGTAACCCTCGCTGTTGGCCTTCAAGTACTAAATTCTCCAGCCTCAGCCCCACAGTACCAGGATTGTAACTTTGAGACACCGTGCTCAGCACACCTTCTGGTTTCCTTTATTCTCCTTATTATAAAGGGTCCTGCAGGTCACTCACTGCACAGAGCTGTGGTTGCTACAGTGCAGCTCCAACACCGCCACCTGTAGCCACAGTCTGCTCACTCTTGCTGCTCTGGTCTCTAGAGCCAGTCTGTTTATCCTCTCCTTCACTAGCTTGTTCTACCTGCTCGTTGATGGCCGGGGACATTGTCCCCCTTAGAAGACCCTTCCTGATTATATATACTCAACATACTTAGAAATATGCACACACACACAAACACACACATATAGACAGATACACACACACATAAGTAGACATACACAGAGATATAACCAAACTTCCTTAGATACTTCCATGGATAGAAACATTCGTAGAATACATACCTGAACACAAAAACTCATGTGTAATCTGTGAAGGTCGAGGTGGACACAGAGTACCCATTGGGATATTACTAAGGCTGTTTTTCTCTTTACCAATGAAATTAAACCTCAGTGTTAGACTGTCTTTGGGGAGCCCACACAGCAGAGGTGTAAGAGCTTTCTGTTCAGGGTGGACTTGACCTCGGGTGTTCCTGGTTGATCAATGCATAAGAGTCAGCGCTATTGCTTCCCACTTAGGTTTTCCCCGGGATTCCTGTGGGTGAAACACACAATCTGAATTTACTTTATTCCCTTACAGCTTCTCAATCAAGCTATACAACGCCTTGTAAGTACTTTGAAAATATGAACTGTATCAGTTAGAGTTTCCCCTATGTCATAATAAACATCAACTCACTAAATGTTATCTACTGAGACAAGGAACCATTAAATAATCTGTGTGTGATCTGGACATGTAGTGACAGCAGAGGCTTCTGCCAGCTGGAGCATAAAGGGTCAGGTGGTAACACAGATGCAATCTTCAATCTGACAGTGCCCCTGCCTCAGATTTCAGTGTGTGTCAGAATCTAATAGATTATCTGATTGCATGGCCTGGGATTCACATCCTTCCCTCAAGGGATTCTAACTTGGAGACCCAGAGTGGCTCAGGGGTCTGTGCTTTGTCATCCTCCACACTTAGGGGAAACTCCTGCCTGGCCCAACATTAATAAGGTCTTAATTTTAGCACCATTATAGAGCTATTTGTTTGTTAAGACTTCACAAAGCAAGAAAAGCCTAAATATAGTTTTCATCTATTTAGTTTTCTGAGGCCCATTTAGCTCATAGTAGTCTCAGACTTGCAAGGCTACCTACTCTTGGAGTCCTGATCCTATACCTCAGTTCCATATTGCTGGGATTCCAGAATTTGTTTTTCTGCCCAGCTCTTGTTTATTATACCTAAAATGATATATACCCAACCACAGCCCACCTGGTTTTATGTCCTTTTTGCAATATAAATCATTTTGATCAAGACCTTGGGCATTGGACATAGCCAAGCTTGAAACTACAGATTCCCCAACCCCAACAGGAGTGTACAATGCAGTTGAGGTTAGTTTTGTATCCTTTATGAGTCCATTTTTAAACAGTGCATTCTTTTCTAATCTGAGTTTGGTTTTTCTTTAGATTATCCATACCAAGATCCAACAATGAATGGTAAGGCTTTTTTCTTTGCTCTTAGTCTCTTGCTTTAGTCTTCTGGTTGAGTTGAGGTCCTGTTTGCCTTCTGTTGCTGTGATAAAACCCTGGCCATAAGCAACTTGGAGAGAAAAGGGTTTGTTTGGCTCACAGGTTAGAGTTCATCATCTAGTGTAGACAAGGCGGGAGCCCAAGTCAGAAACTGATGTAGAGGCAAAGGAGGAACCCTGCTTGCTGGATTCATAGGTCATGCATAGCTAACAATGTTATACAGCTCAGGCTCATCTGTCCAGGTCAGTGTGCTGGCATTCCCCCATCAATTATCCAACAAGAGAAATTCCCACAGACATGGCCTTCTGCAGATGTGATTTAGATAAACCCAGCAGTTGAGACTCCTCCAAGTGACTCAGCTGTGGCAGGGTGACAGTGGAGCCAGCTAGGACAGGTGGTCAGCCCTGTTGCTGCTCTTGCAGCTGTCTGGTGGGATCCAAGTGCAGCTTTGGGTACAGAATGAGGGATGAAGTGCAGATGAGAGTCGTGGGTGTCAAGCTGATGGGCAAACTCCACCAATCCCTGTCCTTCACCTTCCTTCTCCTCTCTGCCCTTCAGTCAGTTGATGGGTGAAATTAGCTTGAGCCTAGTGTCAGAAAAGCTAGCTGGAAACACTCACCGCTTCTTCCTTTGTGCAATATGGGCCATTCTTGCAAATAGCACAATTAGAGCTAGATACCTTGATATACACCCAACCCTAATAGTTTTCATCTATGAAATAAATACATTAAAAGGTAAAGAGAAAACTGGACAGTTGGTACAGTTATTTATAGCACACAATGTATGTATGTTTAGTTTTTTCTTCTTTGTCTTTTTGAGACAGGGTTTTTCTGTGTAACTACGGATGTCCTGAAATTTGAATTTGTTCTGTAGACCAGGCTGGCCTTGAATGCACAGATTCTCCAGTCTCTACCTCCCAAGTTATGGGATTTAAGGCCACTGCTCCGCATAGATTTAAGCACCCAGATTGGGCAGCTTATAACCACCTATAACTCCAACACGAGTGGCTCTGACACCCTCTTCTGGCCTCTATGGACACCTGTACTGATGTGCACACACCCACACACAGACACTTGCCCGTGCGCATAATTAAAAATAAAACAAATCTTTCACAATTAAAAATATTGCACATAATCAATGCCCAACTAATACAGGTAATATGTGCTATTATCATGAAACCTTACTATTTTGAGGTATGTATCATTAATCCCATTTTGCAAATTGGAAAATTAAGACAAAGTTAGATAATTTGTCAATATTTGCATGTCTCAGATTCTGTGGCTGAAAATGGAACACTGTGTAGTGGTGTTTCATTTGGATTGTAATAAATAAAGTTTTCCTGAAGACCAGAGAGTAGAGCAGCCACATTGGTCATCCTTACAGACCAGGCAGGGGTGACACACACCTTTAATCTCAATAGCCTCCCTAACTTGCCATAGTACTGGGCAGTAGTGGTGCACACCCTTAACCATAGAACTAGAGAGGATGGAAGGAGACAGCTTCAGTTCAGTCTCATTTTGAGGTTTTCCTGGAGGCAGAATCATGTTTTCAGACTGAGGGCAGTAATTGATGTGGCAGCTGCCAATATGTTGGGTCCATGGATGTGTGTCCATTCCACCTTGACTGGTGGTCAGAGAGTTTGAGCTTATTTTGCTCTTCCAAAGTTGTTGACAACAGGTGCCTACAAAACAAAGAAGTCTTGACCTAGGATGTGGTCAGATAGTATTTTGAGTATAGATGTATATTCGCTCCATCTGGACCAAAGGGAAGAGGTGCTCTGTCTATTCGTCATATTTGCAAAGCAAATCAAAGCAAAGAGTAGCCAATATTAAGAATTAAATGACAAGCTATAAACACTCCACCAGAGGGATAACATATTCTCCCAGATTCAACCAAGCAAATCCCAAAACAAGGTATCTCATTGATTATATGATGCTAATACCCATTTAAATATCAAGGCATCCTTTAATTGACAAAGAAGTCACCCAAGAAACCAGTTGTGTGTCCGCAAGAAGATTTGCTAGTTTAACCATCAATAGGCAGCTGTTGTGTGGTCCCAGGGACTGTGTACATGTCACGACAAGCATGGGGTGGCTGTGGTCATCCAGACCCCGCCTGAGAATAGTGTTGAAGAAGCAGGCTCCTCCAAGCAGCCACTTTGTGAGCAGGTTTCCTCTGCCATTCTGCAGTAATCTCTGGAAGTCCCCTCTCTTTCTGGTTGGGGCCACTTTCTCAGGAATATTTTAGTGATGGCAAATGTTTATAGTGAGATGTTGTGTTTGAACTACAGAAATAGCCAGATAACTTTTTGAATTCAGATTTCATCTGACTGTTTTCTATCTTGTGCTTTGGGTGGGGCTGCTAGTGACCTGGGTGGTATTTGGGATGGAGTAGGTGCAGAGGAGTTGAACGAGGGTGAGGGACAAAAGATGCTCATGGTGACATCTCAGCAGCAAAGTAACAGAAAGGTCAGTATCAGATTCAGCAAGGAGAAATGACATCATATCAGTGTGAGAAGGCCTTCAGCATGGGAGATGTCAGCTCCAGCTTCTGAGATTCAAATGAAGACTAACATCCAGTGACTTCTTTTTTTCTCATTCTGCAGATGTTATCTATGAGACTACAAGCGGGACAGAAGGTAACATGTTTTATATGGTATCTTTGTGGCCTTATTGTCCCTAGAACATACAGGCTCACCTCTGATCCTGTATTTGGGCAGAAGGCAGAGGATGAGAGTCTTAAGCTCCCTGAGGAAATTTCTGGACAATGTTTCAAGTTTACAAGTCATTTATGCCATGGATTAAATCCATGTATGGTGTGGAGATCCTACTGAAGAGTTTTCTGCAAGGAGCTCCAAAGTGTTCTGGTTTCTTGGGGTCTCTTGATGATCCTCAGAGATCTGAGGCCCCCATGTTCCACCACGTACATTGGTCTGCCTAGGATGCTGAGTTTGGCCTTGGTACCTGGAGAGGAAGACAAAGTCAGTTTAACCTCCCCTCTTGTTATATCCTTCCCTCTGGGCCATAGGAAGTCCCCTGGGAAGTCCTGATGCTTTACCCTTGACATCACAGATGCTGTTTTCCTCTCTGACGTCCGTGAGAGATGTTGGTGGCACATCAGAACAGTTTAGAGCCTGGCAGCCTGGGTTCTAGGAAGGAAAATCACTTCCTTTCCTCCAGGTGGTTTTTTTATTCTAGGTCATCAGTAAGAAGAGTCTCCATTTACATGAAGGCCTCTGGCCAGCCCAAAATTCCTTGGGAATCTAAACAGAGCACAGATCAGCCATTGTTCTTCCTTAGGCATGTTGGGTATCTCAAGGATGAGTCTTGCTTTATTGTAACTTAGCCATATTTCCCCTCAAGATTCTACCTTTTCTTATTTGTAACATGTATACAAGGAGAATCCATTTTCTGCTCTGTGTTGGTGCCCCTACAGGACATACTTAGGTAGCAGATACTCTTTGATAGGCTCTATGATGCAACTGTATCAGTCAGATTGAAGGGCAAGGGAAGACTGGACAAGTCTCTGACAAAGTTATGCAGGAGATAGCTTTTCTAGAGTTGTTTGTATCAGGACCTACTGTGTGGGAAGAGGTCAACTTCCTTCATTTCCAGTGACTCAATAGAGGCTGGGTGTTTGGCATCAATGGATTCATCTCCAGAAATCTCCTCTCTAAGCAGCAGGACGAAGTTCTAGAGCCAGGGCACATTATGAACAATTTACACATGTGTTTTTAAACTAGTATATTATTTAAAAGTGGCATATTAGAAGCATTTCCACTAAAGTAAACAGCAGTGAGCTAGGCATGGTTATACACATACACACACACACACACACACACACACACACACACTCACAAACACACAATTCCAGTACTCAGGAGCCTGAAAAAGGAGCATGTTGCATTTCAGAAAGCCTAGGGTACATGCAGAGACATTGAATTAAAAAAATATTATTTATATACAAAAAATTCAAACAGGCATTCCAACACTTGCTAGTTTGTATTATATTGGACATATCAGTCAATGCAATTAGATAAGAACAATTAATTTGTTTTTTAAGTATGTGAACATTTTTGTATTGATTCCCCAGATTCAACATAAGCCAAATGTAGGTGTTAGATTAGAGTCTGTAGGTTAACGCCATTCTCTACAAACATAGCCTTTTAGATTGGGAGAACTCAAGACGATCCAGATTTCTCCCCCATCTCGATCACATAGCATTACACAGTAGAGAGCCTGAATCCCATCCCATCAGCAGTTTTAACTGTACTTGTATGCCTGACCTTTTCTCAAAGGAGACTTAACTTCATGTTTCTTTCTCATCCATATATGAACGTGTAGAGATCACCACTCCAGAGCCGACTACCACTGAAGTGCCGCCCAGCACTCTCCCAATAGGTAACTAAAATTGTATAAATCTCTTTTTGGTGTAGGTTGTAATGTCAGTGTTAGCCATGACTTTCTTGACACACTTATAGAGATGTATGTGTGTGGATATGTGTGTGTGTGTTTGTGTGTGTGCATGTGTGTGTGTATGTGTGTGTGTGTAGTATTAGAGAAGCTAGGATGGGGTACTGATTGTTGGAGCTTTCCTCTATCATGACCCAATTGTCTCTGTGTGGAGGAGTCAGTCAGCAATGGAGTGGGTTTCTCCACAGTCTCTAAATTTATTGTTATGTCAGAAGAAACTCTGGGTTAGGGTATCAAGATAAGACATGCTTCCAGAGAGGTTTCCATGGCAAAAGGAGACCTTGATATATTGTGGGATCCAATCTGAGTCCCTTCAAAGGGTCCCGTTAGTTCCTCCTTTCCTTCTTCTCTTGCTACTTTATCCTCTAAATTTTTCCATGCCTTTAATTTCCTCTGCCTGCCTGCCCCACTGATCCTTTCCTGCCTAGTTATTGGCCATTCAGCTCTTTATTAATCTAATCACGTGTTTTGGAGAGGTGCTGTAACATAGCAAAACCCATGCAGACCTTGGTCTTGTCTAAACATGTTGGGCACTTAAAGCTTGACTTTAGTGGTAAGTTCACATAAGTTGTCTTGGAGACCAGTAGTGACAAAATTCAGGTCTTTCTAGTGTGCTGTTATTGAAATCAGAAGGTGAGCTCATGGGCAGTCACCCGACCCAGCTCAGCGGGGTGAACAATAGCTTCTATTCATGCTTAATACTGTTTTATTGGGCCTGAAAAAACAGTTCTGATAACACATCTCACCCTTGTCTGGGTAAGCAACTGGTGAGAGCCTTTGCCAAAGATCCACGAACTTGTCTTCTGCCAGGGAGCTCATCAATCTGTCCCTTCAGTCAGTCATAGAGAAGTGTGGGTCAGGGTGGGGCTGGATGTACCCGTGTGCAGTCTGTGCGTTAGGAGTTGTGGGGCTATGATTTCTCTATGTCCATGAAAGACCCCACATTGACCAGTATATGTTGGTATCCTGAAGAGTGTATTGCACTCAGAGGTCTTAGTTACAAGATGCAGCAGGTGTCTGCCCACCATCCAGGATAGATTCAACCCATGTCAACACTGCACACACATAGCCCTCCTGGTGACAGACAGACCTTTCCTGTCTAGAACAGAAGCAATGAGCCTTCAATGCGGGAGCAAGGGCAAGTGACACGGGTAAGGTCTTTCCATGACAGGGTGCCCAAAAAGCAACAGTGGCAGGAATCACGTGCTGTATTGACTTCAACCCCATGAAAGAGCTGTCCAGGAATGCACATGCGCCGTCATCCACACAGGAACAATGAAGGAGAATCCCTCTTGTCTTTCCAGGAACAGAAATTGATTTGTTTGTGAGGCTGGTGAATGGATCAGACAGTTGTCAGGGTCGTGTGGAGGTCTTGTACCAGGGTTCCTGGGGCACCGTGTGTGACGACGGCTGGGACATAAATGATGCCAATGTGGTGTGCAGACAGCTGGGCTGTGGCTGGGCGGTGTCTGCCCCAGGATACGCCTGGTTTGGACAGGGCTCTGGGCCCATTGTCCTGGATGATGTGGACTGCAGAGGGTACGAGTACCATCTGGCAAGTTGCTCCCACCGAGGCTGGCTCTCCCACAACTGTGGACACCACGAGGATGCTGGCGTCATCTGCTCAGGTATGACAAGAGATCCTTAGTTCTCACAGCCATTTGTGGGATATGGTTCCGTCCCTTTTAACAACCCCAGAACTCCATTCTGGCCATGTGCATCTCAGCCCTCTAAGACAGGTGAATACCCAGGTCACTGCCCTGTTTAGCTGGTGGTGGTGTTTTTATTCTTTTTCTTTTTTGGCTCCTTGCTCTTTCAGAGGCCTCCCACCCAGCTCCCAAATAAATCACACACAGTGGCTTATTTTTCCTTATAAATGCCTGTCCTTAGCTTGGCTTTCTGAGCCAGCTTTTCTTAATTTCAATTATCCCATCTGTCTTTTTCCTCTGGGCTTTTCCTTTCTCTATTTCTGTAGACCTTTCTTTATTTCTCGTTCTGTAGTTTGCTGTGTAGTTGGGTGTCTGGCTGCCTACATCCTCCTTTCCTTCTTCTCTTCTTTATCCTCTCAATTTTCCAATCGCTTTAATTCTCTCTGCCTTCCTTCCCCACTGATCCTCTCCTGCCAAGTTATTGGACATTCAGCCCTTTATTAAAATAATCACATGTTTTGGACAGGTAAGGAAACATAGATTCACAGAAGTAAACAAATATAACATAAAAGAAGATAACACATCTTCCCATCATCAAAACAAATTTTCCACACCACAAACAAATGAAACTCATCTCAACATAATATTCTACAGCATTGAGTCAGGGCCTTCACAACCCTCTCAGTTATCCAGGGCTCCAGCATTCATGTGAGATAGATAATTCATGAAAGGGCAGCATCAGGCCCCAGACTTGAGAAAGCAACAGGGTCAGCATGCACACCCTTCTGCAAGGTATAACCTAGTCCTGGTTTGCAGAGATGTAACCAGTTTCTGTAAGACTTTGCAGTGTTCAGAGGGCAAAGCAGTACAGCAAACTCACGTCTTTCCTGCCAGTGTTTCCCTGCATCCTTCTCAGAAGCACTGCAGAGAGAACCTTTTGGGAAAACTTCAATACTCTGTACTCTCTTCCCGCTGTACTAATATCAGGGTTCTCCCAGATTCAGACTCAAAAGCCCAATCATGAGCACAGGGAAAGTTACAAATGACTGTTGAGGGTGTGGCTGTGGCAGGGTCATTGTATGTCATGTGTCCTCAAGCCACATGGAAAGAAGTAGTGAAGGGCTGGAGGGATGGATCAGAGGTTAAGAGAACTGACTGCTGTTCTGGAGGTCCTGAGTTCAATACCCAGCAACCACATGATGGCTCACACCCATCTATAATGAGATCTGGTGCCCAGAACCCTATATACAGAATAAATAAATTTAAAAAACGAAAGAAAGAAAGAAGTAGTGAGGCAGGGGAGAGAGAACCGCGAGCATTGCTAGAGTCCTACAGAATCGTAGTCCGTGAGGGTGGAACTTAGGTGGTTATCACTCATTGCTGAGGGTACCCTTGGCTGTCTATCTGCATCACAATGCATAGCCTTGCTGTTCTGTCCCAGAGGTGGTGATGACTTTATTTCTTTTTTTTTAATTTATTTATTTATTAAAGATTTCTGTCTCTTCCCAGCCACCGCCTCCCATTTCCCTCCCCCTCCCCTAATTAAGTCCCCCCCCCTCAGCCCGAAAAGCAATCAGGGTTCCCTGTCCTGTGGGAAGTCCAAGGAACCCCCCACCTCCATCCAGGTCTAGTAAGTTGAGCATCCAAACTGCCTAGGCTCCCACAAAGCCAGTACGTGCAGTAGGATCAGAAACCCAGTGCCATTGTTTTTGAGTTCTCAGTAGTCCTCATTGTCCGTTATGTTCAGAGAGTCCGGTTTTATCCCAGGCTTTTCCAGACCCAGCCAGCTGGTCTTGGTGAGTTCCCACTTGCATTTAGGAAGCTGCAGAAGCCCAGGTCCCATCCGGGGCAGTGGAGTATAGGGTAGATCTCCATGAACTACTGCATAGCTCATGGCTCCTTCTGGAAGCCCCTGCCCTTCCATTCCAGTCTCTGCTAGGTTTGTGAAAATGCTGAGTCTGTCCTCCCTGTGATCTTGGTGAAATGCCAGGCACTTTGTTTCTTCCTGTCGTTCTACTCACAGGTGACCATTCCACACCTAGCTTGGGTGAGTTTCCCCAACTAGAACTGGAGCGTCCCTGTTCTCCTGGTCACTTTTGGTGTCAGGCTCTTTCTGTTAGCACTAGGGCACCGAGAGGACTCCTACTACTCACCTCGTCGGAGTTTTCCTACATATGTTACCTTTGTGATTATCCTTGGTCTCTGCCCATTCAAGGCTAACAAAGTCTGTGTATGAATTGTGTGAACACACCACTGGGCATATAGAACCCCACTCCTGAATGCTATTGAACATGGAGGGCTGGAGGCTTCACCATGGTATAGACTACAAGCCTGCAGGGTGGCACCTCATGGTCCCATGTTATGTCTCCTGTGTCTTTGTGTCTCTGTTCATTCATGCTGACTCCTCTGTATATTTCTGTTCCTCAATGTTCTTCTGTTTTCAACATTGCTTATCTCTCAGAGACATGTCTATCTGTGTAACCCTCGCTGCTGGCCTTCAAGTACTAAATTCTCCAGCCTCAGCCCCACAGTACCAGGATTGTAACTTTGAGACACTGTGCCCAGCTCACCTCTGGTTTCCTTTATTCTCCTTATTATAAAGGGTCCTGCAGGTCACTCACTGCACAAAGCTGTGGTTGCTACAGTGCAGCTCCAACACCGCCACCTGTAGCCACAGTCTGCTCACTCTTGCTGCTCTGGTCTCTAGAGCCAGTCTGTTTATCCTCTCCTTCACTAGCTTGTTCTACCTGCTCGTTGATGGCCGGGGACATTGTCCCCCTTAGAAGACCCTTCCTGGTTTATACTCATCATACTTAAAAACACGCACACACACACACACACAGGCACACACACACACACACACACACACACACACACACACACAAAGGTAGACATACACAGAGATATAACCAAACTTCCATAGAAACTTTCAATGATACAACCATACCGAAAGACACATGCCTGAACACAGAAACACGTGTAATCCGTGAAGGAAGCCATGGACTCAGAGTACCGACTGGGGTATTACTAAATCTGTTTTTCTCTTCTGACCAAGAAAATGAAACCTCAGTGTTAGACTTTGTCTTTAGGGAGCCCACACAGCAGAGGTGTAAGAGCTTTCTGTTCAGGGTGGACTTGACCTCGGGTGTTCCTGGTTGATCAATGCATAAGAGTCAGCGCTATTGCTCCCCAGTTAGGTTTCCCCGGGATTCCTGTGGGTGAAACACACAATCTGAATTTACTTTATTCCCTTACAGCTTCTCAATCAGCCTATCCAACACCTGGTAAGTACTTTGAAAATATGAACTGTATCAGTTAGTTTCCCCTATGCCATAATAAGCATCAACTCACTAAATGTTATCTACTGAGACAAGGAACCATTAAATAATCTGTGTGTGATCTGGACATTTAGTGACAACAGAGGCTTCTGCCAGCTGGAGCATAAAGGGTCAGGTGGTAACACAGATGCAGTCTTCAATCTGACAGTGCCCCCGCCTCAGATTTCAGTGTGTGTCAGAATCTAATAGATTATCTGATTGCATGGCCTGGGATTCACATCCTTCCCTCAAGGGATTCTAACTTGGAGACCCAGAGTGGCTCAGGGGTCTGTGCTTTGTCGTCCTCCACACTTAGGGGAAACTCCTGCCTGGCCCAACGTTAATAAGGTGTTAATTTTAGTATGATTATAGGGCCATTTGTTTGTTAAGACTTCACAAAGCAAGAATAATCTATTTATTTTTTTCATTTATTTAGTTTATTAAAGCCCATTTAGCTCATACTTGTTGTGTAGGCAAGGCTAGGCTACCTACCCTTGGAGTCCTGATCCTATCCCTCAGTTCCATAGTTCGGGGATTCCAGGAGTTAGTCGTCCTGCCCAGCTCTTGTTTATTATACCTGAAATGACCAGACCTTCAGCCCACCTGGTTTTATTTCCTTTTGGCAAGAAAAAAATCATTTTGATCAAGACCTTGGGCATTGGACATAGCCAGGCCTGAAATTACAGATTTTCCCACCCTCAGCAGGAGTTCACAGTGCAGCTAAAGTTAATATTTGTATCCTTTATGAGTCCATTTCTAACAGTGGATCCATTTCTAATCTGCTTTTGGTCTTTCTTTAGATTATCCATACCAAGATCCAACAATGAATGGTAAGGCTTTTTTCTTTGCTCTTAGTCTCTTGCTTTAGTCTTCTGGTTGAGTTGAGGTCCTGTTTGCCTTCTGTTGCTGTGCTAAAACCCTGGCCATAAGCAACTTGGAGGGAAAAGGGTTTGTTTGGCTCACAGGTTAGAGTTCATCATCTAGTGTAGACAAGGCTGGAGCCCAAGGCAGAAACTGATGTAGAGGCAATGGAGGAACCCTGCTTGCTGGATTCTTAGGTCATGCTTAGCTAACAATATTATACAGCTCAGGCTCATCTGCCCAGGTCAGTGTGCTGGCATTCCCCCATCAATTATCCAACAAGAGAAATTCCCACAGACATGGCCTTCTGCAGATGTGATTTAGATAAACCCAGCAGTTGAGACTCCTCCAAGTGACTCAGCTGTGGCAGGGTGACAGTGGAGCCAGCTAGGACAGGTGGTCAGCCCTGTTGCTGCTCTTGCAGCTGTCTGGTGGGATCCAAGTGCAGCTTTGGGTACAGAATCAGGGATGGAGTGGAGATGAGAGGCGTGGGTGTCAAGCTGCTGGGCAAACTCCACCAATCCCTGTCCTTCATTTTCCTTCTCCTCTCTGCCCTTCAGTCAGTTGATGGGTGAAATTAGCTTGAGCCTAGTGTCAGAAAAGCTAGCTGGAAACACTCACCGCTTCTTCCTTTGTGCAATAAGAGCTGTTCTTGCAAAGGTAAATAGCACAATCAAAGCTAGATAACTTGATATGCACCCCAACCCTAATAGTTTTCATGTATGAAATAAATACATCGAAACGTAAAGAGGAAACTGTACAGTGGGTGCAGTCATCTATAGCACACACTGTATGTATGTTTAGTTTTTTCTCTATTTTGTCTTTTTGAGATAGTGTTTCTCTGTGTAACTTTGGATGTCCTGAAATTTGAATTTGTTCTGTAGACCAGGCTGGCCTTGAATGCACAGATTCTCCAGTCTCTACCTCCCAAGTTCTGGGATTTAAGGTCACTGCTCAGCATAGATTTAAGCACCCAGATTGGGCATCTTATAACCACCTGTAACTCCAACACGAGCGGCTCTGACACACTCTTCTGGCCTCTATGGACACCTGTACTGATGTGCACACACCCACACACAGACACTTGCCCGTGCGCATAATTAAAAATAAAACAAATCTTTCACAATTAATAATATTGCACATAATCAATGCCCAACTAATACAGGTAATATGTGCTATTATCATGAAACCTTACTATTTTGAGGTATGTATCATTAATCCCATTTTGCAAATTGAAAAATTAAGACAAAGTAAGATAATTTGTCAATATTTGCATGTCTCAGATTCTGTGGCTGAAAATGGAACACTGTGTAGTGGTGTTTCATTTGGATTGTAATAAATAAAGTTTTCCTGAAGACCAGAGAGTAGAGCAGCCACACTGGCCATCCTTACAGACCAGGCAGGGGTGACACACACCTTTAATCTCAGTAGCCTCCCTAACTTGCCATAGATACAGGGCAGTAGTGGTGCACACCCTTAATCATAGAACTAGAGAGGATGGGAGGAGACAGCTCTCAGCTCAGTCTCATTCTGAGGTTTTCCTGGAGGCAGAATCATGTTTTCAGACTGAGGGCAGTAATTGATATGGCAACTGCTAATCTGTTGGGCCCATGGATGTGTGTCCATCCCACCTTGACTGGTGGTCAGAGAGTTTGAGCTTATTTTGCTCTTCCAAAGTTGTTGACAACAGCTGCCTACAAAATGGAGAGGTCTTGACCTAGGGTGTAGTCAGGTAGTATTTTGAGTATAAATGTGTATTCGCTCCATCTGAACCAAACGCAGAGATGCTGCGTCTATTCCTCTTATGTGCCAAGCAAATTAAGAAAAGAGTGGCCAATATGTCCTCTTTATTGGGCATTAAATAGCAAGCAAAAAACACTCCACCAGAAGGATTACGAATTCTCCAAGATTCAACCAAGCAAATCCCTAAACAAGGTTTCTCATTGATTATATGATGCTAATACCCATTTAAATATCAAGGCATCCCTCAGTGTACCAAGAAGTCACCCAGGAAACCAGTCCATTGTGTGTTCCCAAGAAGATTTGCTAGTTTAACCATCAATAGGCAGCTGTTGTGTGGTCCCAGGGACTGTGTACATGTCACAACAAGCATGGGGTGGCTGTGGTGACCCAAACCCCACCTGAGAATAGTGTTGAAGAAGCAGGCTCCTCCAAGCAGCCACTTTGTGAGCAGGTTTCCTCTGCCATTCTGCAGTAATCTCTGGAAGTCCCCTCTCTTTCTGGTTGGGGCCACTTTCTCAGGAATATTTTAGTGATGGCAAATGTTTATAGTGAGATGTTGTGTTTGAACTACAGAAATAGCCAGATAACTTTTTGAATTCATCTGACTGTTTTCTATCTTGTGCTTTGGGTGGGGCTGCTAGTGACCTGGGTGCTACTTGGGATGGAGTAGAAGCAGAGGAGTTGAATGAGGGTGAGGGTCAAAAGATGCTCATGGTGACATCTCAGCAGCAAAGTAACAGAAAGGTCAGTATCAGATTCAGCAAGGAGAAATGACATCGTATCAGTGTGAGAAGGCCTTCAGCATGGGAGATGTCAGCTCCAGCTTCTGAGATTCAAGTGAGTACTAACACCAAATTATTTCTTTCTTTCTCATTCTGCAGATGTTATCTATGAGACTACAAGCGTGACCCCTGAAGGTAACATGTTTTATGTGGTATCTCTGTGGTCTTATTGTCTCTATTACCCATAGGCTCACCTCTGATCCAGTAGATGGGCAGAAGGAAGGGGATGTGGGTCTTCAACTCCCAGGAGAAGTTTCTCAATCAGGTTTCAAGTTTACAAGTCATTTATGCCATGGATTAAGTCCCTGAATTGCAGTGGGGATCCTCTTGAAGGGCAATCTGCAAGGGGCTCCAAGGTGTTCTTGTTTCTTGGGGTCTCTTGATGATCCTCAGAGATCTGAGGCCCCCATATTCCACATCGTACATTGTTCAGGCTAGAGAGCTGAGTTTGGCCTTGGTGCCTGGAGAGGAAGACAAAGTCAGCTTAACCTCCACCCTTGTCATATTCTCCCCTCTGGGTCATAGGAAGCTCCCTGGGAAGTCCTGATGCTCAACCCTTGACATCACAGATGCTTTTTCCTTTCTCACATCCTCAGTGAGAGATGTTGGTGGCCATCAGAATAGGTTAGAGCCTGTCAGCCTGGGCTTTGGGAAGGAAAATCACTTCCTTTCCTCCAGGGGTCTTTTGATCCCAGCTTTTTGATCCTTCCCCGTGGGGTACATGTCTATGTCCTGAGACCTAGCACATCTCTCTTGCATCTGAAGAAGGATAGATTAAGATGTATGAAGATGGACAGAAAGTTCTATCAGAGGTCATGAAGCCAATCTGAGACACGATGTCAACCTATTAGTGTAATGATGAAGCCTCGACGTGTGTTATTTCCAAGGTGGCCATCGAGTAGGGAGAGGCGCGGACTTTGTTCTTAGCTAAAGTCTCTATGTCATGACACTGCTGTTCTTTGACTATGGAGTTGCTTTAATTAATGGGAAAATGATCATTTGACAAATCATTTCACTTGTTTAAATCCTGTCTCTGGCTCCCCATCAAAGCATCCTAAGTTCAAGTTCCCCGTTGGGCTTTGGTAATGGTGTGCGCCTGTGCCCAGTTCTTTCGGGTCCTGGGATAGAGTCTATGTTCATGAGTAAAAAGCAGTGCAGCCCTGTGCTCCAAGTCCAGCATGGGCTGGGCTGTCCTGGGAGGCTAGAGGAGTCCAGTGTAATAACAGGACCTGCCAGGTACCCCTGACTCACTGGACAGACACTGTCAACACATCCTGACCTATACCTCACCTTTGGTGGGATCAGACTGTGGGCTCTTATGACCCCATGGGTAGCCTCTTCCTGACTGCTTAGATGACTAGCTCTCACCGCTCTGAGGCAGCAGATGAGAACATGCCAGTGTCTGGTCTGTTCTGTGTCATGAACCCAGGGCCAGGCTAGGCACCTTCTGTTCAAGGTCTCTGACATGGCTTCTTTTTCTCACAGCTGATACATCGCCATATTCGACTGTTGCTGGTGAGTCCCGCTCTCCCTCAGTGCTTGTGTTTCCCACTGTCCCTGTTCTGCTCACTGTTTCAGAAACAGCTACAGCGTGGGTGGGACTCCTCAGCATTCTGTCTCCCCCAGATCCTCCAGCATTCTCCATAAAGTAGAGTGGTAATTACTGGTGAGGCAAAAGCTACCCTCTCATTGTCCCAGTGGCATAGCTAAGTTACAGCACTTACTCCATTATACTAGGCTTCATTATCCTGAGGAAATCATTTGCTACCCTCAATTGGAGGGGCACAAGCGAACATGTCCAAGCCATTACATGCTCTCAGGGAAAGGACTTCCTTTTTCCCCACCCAGTGCTTCTGTGTCCCATGTTTTCTACTTGACCCAACTTTGATGCTCAGGCCTTCCTTCTAATTCAGCTTTGTTTTCCTCTCCAGATTGGTTTACTGAAACTCCTGACACTGGTAAGTGTGTGTGTGTGTGTGTGTGTGTGTGTGTGTGTGTGTGTGTGTGTATGGTGTGTCGGGGAGACCAAAGCATAGCTTTAAACCCTTCAACCAAGAGGTTGGAGAGAGACAGGGATTCTGGCATCTGTGGTGGAGCACAACTCAGAAGCCCAGGAGAAGGAAAGGAATTAGGAAGAGAGCATATCTTTCCCATGTGCCTCCCCAGTGATCCACTCTGTCCCCCAAATCCATCTCCTGTTTAGTCCATCGCTGAATCAATGACCAGATTTAGTAAGGCCCTCTGGGGCTTGGGGTTGGACTCATGTGGTCGGACTCATCAGTAGGTCTTCAGGTCTTTAACATGTGCCCATTGGTGGACAATTCCTGTTCCGTTCAGAACACCTTAGTGTTGCAAGAAGACTGAGGCCCTGGACTCTGTGATTCAGAACAGGTAGAAATAGGTATAGAATCCACCATGCTTCCTCCTGATTTCTCTGTTCTCCAGAGAGATTGAAGCCCATATCAGCAAACACGTACATATCTGAAATAAGCCCTGGATAGGTGTTAATTATTCCTGGTGATCTCTTTATGTCCAGGGTACAACAATTCTGCACAACTGGTCCAAGAGATCTCATACTGACCATTATCTGCCCACTAGAGAGACATAAGTATAGGGAGACACCTCACAGTGGCTTTGATGGAACTTCCCAAGACTACTATTCCTGTCCCCCATCCACTGACCAACCTGCACCTACCTCCACAAAGAAAGACACGTAGAAGGGTGTCCTCCATATCTTCAGGGTTGGCCAGATTTATGTTACTTCTTATTGGGTTCCTCAGTTGGATATTGTGTCAAACATTCCTCCTCTTGCCAGGCAGCTGTGTGCTGTGATCTGGGGGTTCATCAGCATTTCCACTCTTTCCTTACAGTAAACTATACCTGCGGAGGTTTCCTGACTGGGTACTCTGGTATCATTTCTAGTCCATTCTATCCCGGGAATTATCCCAATTACGCCAGATGTGTGTGGAACATTTTGGTCCCAACCAACAACTACGTGTCTCTAAACTTCATGGATGTGCAGTAAGTGTGGGTACAGAGCAGACGTTAGAGAGAGTGTGGGGTGCCTGTGTATTCATGGGAGTGATAGTCAAGGTGGCTTTTAAAAAGGGGGTTCACTTTGACTTGGCATGAGAGTAGCCATGGAGGCTTTAACAGGTGTAAAAGTACAAGAAGTTGAAGATACTCTGGTTCAAGTTCCAGTCTTGTTCTTAATTTGCTGCATGCCCATGGGATGCCACTCTCTTAAGTCCCAGTCCGAAGAAGGGACTAGAACTCCTACTTTTCTCATGTCACCAGAGAATGTAGAAATACTTGGAAGTACTACTCTTTGAAAGGGCCAGTTCGGGGTTTAGGTAATGTCATTCTTGGGGATACAACGGGACAGTGTTGCTAATAAGACCACCTGTTGAGTGCAAAGATGCCCTCACAGCGCTCTCTCTCTCTCTCTGTCTCTCTCTCTCTCTCTCTCTCTCTCTCTCTCTCTCATTTCATGAGGCCCCAGGGGGAAGGCACAAGTGCACTTCCAATGAGGTGTGTGTGTGTGTGTGTCCCAATACTTCCGGACAGAGCTGTGTTTCCAGGTCCTCTCTGGGTGCTGTCTGTAGTGGCCTTGGAAGTCTCTGCTCTGGTACCACATAAGCACTGTATCAGTGTCTCTCCTAGACCAATACGAAGGCTGCCCCTGAAGCCCACCAGGGCCTACGTACAAAGGCACCCTTAATATCCTCTGCTTCATCTTGGCGACACCACAACCCATTTTCAGTGGTCACGGAATGCAGTGTTCCTTACTGTAGACGAGAAGCTTGAGTTAGAGAGGTCCAATGATTTATATTGTGATTTTTGTGTTTTGTTTTATATGATTTATGATTTTCTGTGTTTGAGTGATTTATCTGTATGTATGTCTGTGAACTGCATGCTTGCCTGGTGTCCACAGAGGTCAGAGGAGGGTGTTTAGTCCATTGGATATGGAATGATAGTTGATTAAGAACTTCTTTGTATGTGCTGGGAATCAAACCCTAGTCCTTTGGAAGAGAACTTAACAATGAATTCAACCACTGAGCTATTTATCCAGGTCCTGCTATTTTTTCCAATTCTTTTATTTATCAGAGATTGTGTCATCCTGAAGATAATTGGTTACACCTTGAAGCAACAAATTATATTTTTGTCAGGTGACCTTTCTTTGTCTGTATAAAAGACTTTAATGAAGACATATTATAGATTACGTTCTGACCCCCAAAGGCAGATTGCAGACCAGGCACGACAGTCTTGGGAAGACAGATGCATTCTCTTTAGGATTTCAGGAAGCCACCTACTCTTTCAGATGATATATTTTGTCACTGTTATCAGCACAGTGAGTCCCCACATCACATTCCAGACACAGAGTAGCTAACTGTCTATTCTGTCTTCTTAGGCTGGAAGGAGGCTGCAGCTTTGACTACATCCTGCTTTTTGATGGCCCTGAATACAATTCTTCTCTCATTGCTCGCGTTTGTGATGGGGCCCATGGAACTTTCACCTCCACACGGAACTTCATGTCTGTAGTCTTCATCACTGATGTCAGTGTCACCAGGACAGGGTTCCAGGCTAGCTACGTCTCTGTCTATGTCCCTTCCACCAGTGAGTTTCCTCGTGAGAATGAATGTCCATTTGGGTTTGGTGGTGCCTTCTGGTCCTCAGCTTTCCTGAGTTTGTGACATAAGCAGTAACATGGCCTCCCTGGGTCGTCTGCTTGCTTCCTATGGAGAGGGACTGTGTGCAGCAGGTCTTGGGGCTCTGACTGACAGAAATATGGTTGACGGCCAGCACTGGCTGATGGGAGGAACACTGGCTTCAGTGTCATCATAAGAAAATAGAAAGGTCTAAGGTGATTCTTCAACAGATAGTTCGAAGTGAGTGTCAGGAGGGGGGTGACAGCAGGCTTGGAGCTTTGTGAACCTTACCAAGTGGGGGACACTGCCCGTGTTTTGAAACCTAGCATATCTGTCTTCTGTCTAAAGAAGGATAGATTGGGGCATATGAAGTTGGACAGAACTTAATCTGTGTCACTAAGCTTTTCAGGTGCTGTTAGGATCTATCCCGGACAAAGCTTTGTCTTGTCCTTGAATTGTGTGCTGGGGACAACTGATTTAGGAGAGATTTAAAGCTGTCAGTTGGCCAGCTTGCTATCCCTGTGATGGGCATTTAACATCTTCTTCTTGTTTTCACAGCCTCTGAGCCAACAACCACTCCCAGTCCAGGTGAGTCCCGCTGTCGTTTAAGTCCCGTGTGTCCCTCTTCCTCTGCTTTTCTGGCAATACCAGGCCGTAGCTCCATTCTACTGCAGTGGTTGGATTCTACCGCACTATTGCTTCCCCAGAACTTTCTGTTCTCTGTAAAGCAGAAAGGTAGTTTCTGAGGAGGTCACACCTCCCTCCTGTCTGGCCAGTGGAGTGAGAAAGTTGCAGCACTTCATCTGTGTCACTAAGCAGTCTTTCCTGGTGCTCTTAGGATCTATCCTGGGCAGAGCTTGGTCTTGTCCATGAATTGTGTGCTGGAAACAACTGAGACTTCTTACAGAATCATTTAGGAGAGATTTAAAACTGTCAGTGGGGTCTGGGCCAGCTTGCTATCCCTGTGATGGGCACCCACACGCGTGGTCAAGGGCATTCCTGGCTCTCTATGGGTTCTTTTCTCCCAGCCACAGTGACTCCCTGGTCCCTGCATTCCATGTCCAGCTGCAGTGAGTTTCAGCCTTGATTCCCACTTCCTCACTCTAATGCAGCTTTGTTTTCCTCTCTAGTTTGGTGGACCACAACAACTCCTTACTATGGTATGTATTTTAGATAAAGCTAAAGTGCTAGCCTCCCCAGTGCTCTAACCAACAGGCTGGAGAGAGGGGTGCACATTCTTGGCCTTGCTTGAAATCTGGGGTGGAGCAAAGATGAGAGAGAGAGAAAAAGAAAAGAAAGGAGAGAGAGAGAGAGAGAGAGAGAGAATATGTAGAGGGAGAGACACTAGGGCTAAGGTCTTTCTAGGGCACACCCCAGTGACCTGCTCTATTCAACCTGACCCATGACCCAATTACTGAGTCAAGTGATTAATCTATAAATCTGTTCAATGCACTCAGCATCCAATCACAGGACTGAGTTCAAGAGTTGGTCTCCAAGTCTTCAGTAGTGAGCTTGTTGGTGGGCATTTCCCATCTAAACCCTAATGCTATCTCTGCAAGAATATTGCAGCCCTGGACTCCATGAATCAGGATAGGTAGACATAGCTGTAGAGCCATGATCCTTGCTCTAGATGTCTCTGTTCATCAGAGAGGTCCAGACCCTCACCAGCAAATCCAAACATCCTTGGAAAAAAACCCCGAGATAGGGGCTAAGAATCCCTTTGTATCCAGAGTCCATGAACCCCTGCACAGGTTCAAGTGGCCTATTCCCCACCATTGTCTGCCAGTCAGGGAAAGCAAGGGTTTACTAGCTTAACCAGTGGACTCCAGTTTCAATGGGAGACCTTGCCTCAAAACGTACCTAACTACCAATGAATATTACACCACACACACACACACACACACACACACACACACACACACACTCACACACACACACGAACAGGCCCTTAGGCTTCAGTGCATGTACCAGGGGTAGGCTGACTGTGATTGGGGCTCCTCCCTTGGATACTGTGTCAAACATTCCTCCTCCTGCCAGACAGCCATGTGTTGTATTCTGGGGTCATCAGCATTTCTACTCTTTCCTTCCAGTCAACTATACCTGCGGAGGTTTCCTGACCCAACCTTTTGGGAACTTTTCCAGTCCATTCTACCCCGCGAACTATCCTAACGATGCCAGATGTGTGTGGAACATTGAGGTCCCGAACAACTACCGTGTGACTCTGGTCTTCAGAGATGTGCAGTAAGTGTGGGTGCAGAGCAGATGTTAGGGGGAAAAATTCAGGGAAATGATAGTCAAGATGACATTTAAAATTAGGGCTCTAGTTTTGATATGGAGAGCAGGCCATGGAGGATGAAGTGGGAGTAAGCACACAGGAATTTGAAAACCTTCTGACTTGAAGTTCCCGTGTTGTCCTGCATTTAATGCACGGCCATGGGATGCCACTCTCCTAAGCCTCAGCCAGAAGAAGGGTTAGAATGCCTGCTTTGCTCATCTTGCTGATCAGGGGGTCACCAGCGAACATGGGAATGCTGGGAAATGTTTGCAGTGGGAGGGAGATTTGCGGCTGGGCAATGCTAGTCTTGGGAGCACAGTATACAAGCGCACCTGTTCAAGGCAGCCCTTTCCTCATCGGCCCCATCCTTTCTGCGAGTCCTCAGGAGCCAGGGTGCTCGCCTTACCAACGCTTATGTAAAGTTCCGGTCACTCATATACTGACAAACAAAAATGTCCTTGGGTGGAGGGGGTGTCTCCAAAAGCCTAGTAACATACACTTCATCTGGGAGGCAAGTGGCTCAACTGGCCAAAAAACTGGGACCTGTATTCTCTACCACCCCAGCGATGGGGCCCACTGCTTGGGACTTTTCAGGAATTATTTCTTTCCTACACGGAGACCCATTTGGACCTCCCTTCAGTATGTATAGCGCACTGCGTTCTTCTTAGCAGATGAGAAACCTGAGCATGAGGGAGGTCCCGTGTTCTTTCTTTTACCAGTCATCTCTGTCACGCTGCATCCATTGGTAGTTGTTTTATTCTGGAAGGGACCTGGGAGCACTTTGAAGGGACCAATCAAGGTGTTCTCTGATGGCCTTTCTCAGGGAGAGGGACTGTAGACCTCATACAAGTGACCTTAGATGGCATTTTGAAGACAAGGCATAGTGGTCTTGGCAGGATGAATTGCCCCTGGGTTTAAGGAACTCATCTGTTCTTTCAAATAATGACCTTGGCCCGTGTTTCCGTGAGGCCTGAGTCCTCATCCAAGTCTGGACAGTAGAGACATAACTGCTTGTTTTGTCTCTTCAGGCTTGAGGGGGGCTGCAGCTACGACTACATTGAGATCTTCGATGGTCCCCACCACAGTTCTCCTCTCATCGCTCGCGTTTGTGATGGGGCCCTGGGCTCGTTCACGTCCACATCCAACTTCATGTCAGTGCGCTTCATCAGTGACCACATTATTACCCGGAGAGGGTTCCAGGCCGAGTACTACTCAGACTTTGCCAATAATATCACCAGTAAGTTCCCTTGTCACGGCAAAGGCGTGTTGGGACTGGGGACATCCCTGAGAGCCTTCTGCTCCTGCATTGTCCTGGGATTATAACATAGAAAAGTTATAGCACCCACATTGTGGCCTCTATGGTTGATTTCCTATATTGCCTATTGAGAGAGGCTGTGTACAGTGAGTCTTGGGACTCTGGATGTACAAAAGAGGGTCAAGGACTAGCACCATTGAGAGTTATGCTGAACTTAGAGTGGTGGCAAAGAATAAGAAGGTAGCTGGGCAGTGGTGGCGCATGCCTTTAATCCCAGCACTCGGGAGGCAGAGGCAGGTGGATCTCTGTGAGTTTGAGGCCAGCCTGGTCTACAAGAGCTAGTTCCAGGACAGGCTCCAAAGCTACAGAGAAACCCTGTCTCGAAAAAAAAAAATAAGAAGGTGTAAGGTGGAGTCCTCAACAGCAAGTGACTCCGTTGTGAGCATCAGTCTCACGTGTGGACCCTGTGTGGACCCTGTGTGTCAGCCATCACTGTGTACCTTGGAAAAGACCCTTATGAAGGTCATGGGGTTTGGAATCCTGACTCAGGGCACCCTCTGCTCTGTCCTTCAGGTCTCCTCTGTTTGTCAAATCACATGCGAGCCAGTGTGAGCAGGAGCTACCTTCAGTCCATGGGCTATTCTGCCGGAGAGCTTGTCATTCCTGGTTGGAATTCAAGCTACCAGTGTCGGTCCCAGATAACACAGAGGCAGGTCATATTCACAATTCCCTACACGGGCTGTGGCACTACCAAACAGGTAAGCCTGGCACCACCCACTCCATTGAACATGCTTTCTTTTTTTCAAAACTTTACTCTCTCTCTCTCTCTCTCTCTCTCTCTCTCTCTCTCTCTCTCTGTGTGTGTGTGTGTGTTTGTGTGTGTGTGTGTGTGTGTGTGTGTGTGTGTTAGCAAGCGTTTGCATGCATGTGGAGGTCAAAAGACAACTTATGGGAGCTGGTACTTTTCTTCTACCATGTGAGCCCTGGGAATAGAATTAAACCTGTTAGCCTTGGCCACAAGTGCCGTTACCCACTGAGTCATCCCACCAGCCCTGAGCGTGATTGATTACAAGGTCATATGTAGTGCGTCTAGAACCCTGGGGATCTAGAAGCTATGGCTGTGGTATAATCAGAACATGATTCATGTGAAGAGAGACGGGGCCTTTGGTATGGTAGTATGGTAGCCACAGCTGCTTCCAGATAGGAGGGATGAGGAGGCCAAAGGGGGGGGGGGGAAGCCGAGCATTTCCACAGTGTGGCCAGCAGAGAGAGCATCCAGCAGGACTCCACTCACACACATCCCAGGATGGATTTTGCAGTATCTGGGGCTTCTACAGTTTCTTTTGGGATGGGAGAAAGAAGCAGAAGTGCCCTAAGTCAAGGATGCAAACACACTACTTTCCCGAGTTCCACAGCAACAGACACACGGCCATGGCTCTCAGGAGGCCAAGGCACTGCCATTGGTTGCCACAGTTGCCATTTCTGGAGTGGCCAGCAGCAGGGGCAGCCAGCCTTGTGACCTTGTACCGTGACAATGTCATCTACAAAATTCATGCTGGGCTACTGCGCGTAGACTTACAGAAGCGTGTACCTCCCTCAGTGTTGTGAGAAACGCAGCCCATGGATCATCACGTGTTGGACATGACTAACAGAGTGGTTACCTGTCTTGAGTTTGCCTGAGACCAGGCAGATTTTAGCACAGACTATTCCATAACTCAGACACCAGTCATGGGCAGACTGGGACCATTGTCACCCTATCAGTGGAAGATGCTGTGATGAGTCTAGGCCACACTCCCCAAATCTTTTTTTATCTTATTATTATTTTTTTTTGAAACAAGTACACCAAGTAGTTCTGGCTGGGTTCTGTAGAGCAGACTGGCTTTGAACTCCGAGAGATCTGCCAACCTCTGCTTGTTGAGTGCTGGGATTAAAGACTTGCACCGCCATGCTAAATTCTTAAGTATTTTTGTATTGCCACCCCACTTTAAAGTGAGGAGACTGAATTAAGAGAGGTCAAGTCTATCGCCCAAGGCCACTTAGTCCCAGATGGTGGCAGGACTGACTTCAGAAGTCACAGATCTAAGAAACATTCTCTGCTGAGGAACAGGAGCCAGACACAGAAGAGTCTTGTAAAAAAATAAAAAAGAGATATGTATATTACTATTAGAGATGTCCATTCATACTAAATTTAGCAAAAGGGAATGCCTGTGCAATGGGTAAAAGGCCATCGTGGGTGGTGACCTGTTTCTAGGTTGGACAATGTGACTTTGGAGGCAGGATGGAGATGCTCAGATCATGGCAAAGGGGTGTGTCTTACTACCGATGAATATACAGGACATGCACGTTCAGATGCCTGTGCATTTTCAGGGTCATGTTCATGCACCAGACCCAGGATAAGCATTTTCTACATGTTAGGCGCTGGGTGTAGTACTAAGGAGGAACTCCTTCTCAGTCCTCCGACACGCAGTTACCCCAGAGAGGAAGCAGAACCTTAGTCTACCAGGTGGGTCTTGGCCACATATGGTTGTGTGTGAGGGCCTGGTCACCCAGATCTCTTGGTAAGACTCTACACCCAAGAATTCCCTCTGAGAGGAATTTGGTGAGTGAGACAAGCTCCTTGGGGGAGGAATGCGTATCAACCAGGCCAAGGAGGTGGCTTCTTTGACCCAGTTTTTGTATTTTGCTCTGTAAACTTGCTGCTTGAGAGTCAGCCCACCCAAGGCAACTACTGATCCTTTTTCCAGATGTGGAGCCTGGAGGATCGTTTATCTCAGCAGCTCACTGGTGGTGCTCCATAGACGGCTACGGGCATCTCAACAGCCTGCCAGCCCTGCCTCTTTTGACTTGAGTGAACCTGGGTAGCACGTGCTGCAATCTGGTTTCTCCTCTTTTGAAACAGCCGCATCACCTGCCCAACTGAATGCTTTAGAGGCAGGGATAGTTTTATTAGTCTTTGCCATCCTTGGTGTCCTGGTATGGAGCCCAAGACTTTATAGTAGTGCCAACAGCTATTATGTATGCCAGACACCAAACTAAGACTTCTACTGGAGATTTAAAAGTCCCAGGATGTGATCCTCCACTTACTCACAGGAGATAAAGGCTTAGAGAAGCTGAGCCCCGTGCCCAGGGCTACCAGCTCATGAGCTGTGGAGTCCGTGTGCTCTGTAGCAGGAGTTGTTCATGACTTGGCCAGCCGGCCACACCTGCTATTGGCTGGCATCATGGAATAGATGAGCTTTCTTCCAGAAAAAGGCATTCTAGGGCAGTGAGATCCCAGGTTTCTCTGAGAGCGTAGTTGACTCATGTCCAGGACTTTCTGTCACTTTGGCTGCCTTTCTCCCTGGGTAGAGGCCTAAGCAAAAGTTGGGTAGAGGCCTAAGCAAAAGTTTTAATCTAGAGTTAGGATGGCTCCCTCAGAGCAGGAAGTAAGGTCACACTCCGTGTTTGTTGTTCAGGGCAGGTTCCGAATGGAGCCCTGTCAAAGAGGAGAACATGGACTTTGTGACTACACTCATGTTATACAGAGTTTGAAAGACCCCTGTGGTTTATAACACCATTGGTACCAGAATACAAATGTTTCATCTGCTTAGAGAATTCAGGGGAGAAATACAATGTGCTTCCACTGACGTCATGAAGAGCATGGAGTCCCTTCCGCAGGTTCTTCCCCAGACCTGGGTCTGGAGAGCAGGCTCTGATGTGCTTTGCCACACAGACTGGCCCTGCCCTAGGCTCTGGCCAGCCTGAGGTGAGAGAGACCAGATTAGAAAAGATGAGCAGAGGGTCAAAGAGGTTTTCCAAAAGCTCTTATCTCATGGTAATGTTTTCTGAAAGGAACACATGCAAAATAGAGTTCTCAACAATAGACAAAAAGGGGAAGGCTCTCTACTGTGAAAGAAAATCATATTTAAGCTGTAGAAGTGCTGGAAACACAAGGGGGCTTTTGCAGGTCCCAATCAGTTAAGATAGAATTTCACCCTTCACAGTTCACATGACTATAGTGGAAAGCTCGCTTTCTCTGTCTGTCTGCCTCTGTCTGTCTGTCTGCCTGTTTATGTCTACTCTGGCCTGCCATGCCCTGCCTTTTCCCCCACTGTTAAGAGCACAGTTGCTTTAAATTCCTGACACTGTCCATGTCACCATGGTAGAATTCTCCAGCCCATATGGCATGCAGGGCTCCTGGCACGGGACTGGGAGAAGTGCATCACAGCACCCAGGCTGTGAAGAGCTCACAGCCCCAGTCTGGTGAAGGTGTCCATGTGCTTTCCTTACTTGGAGCCAGACAGTCACCAACATGGTGCTTCCAGGAATCACTGTCCATGGGTTTCCTCTTGGCCATTAGGTCTTTGCCTTCTTGCCACACCCTCTATTAAAGTACTTCCGGGCCACTGGCTTCATTCCTTTCAACTGCTTCATAGATCCTTTCAGATGCTATTGCTGCTGTTGCTATACCAAGAGAACAGAGAGAGAGACATGTTTAGACATCACCCTTTCCTTAAGGTGCTCACAGGCCCCAGGCGTAAGGTTCCTGGCATGGCAGCTCTCAGAGATAGTAGACACATTACAAGGCACTAGCCAATGGCTTCCTTATGAGTAACTGCTCAGTGAAAATCACAGTGGTAAATAGCTCTATAGTATAATGAGTTGAAGCAGGAATGGCATTATTTAGTTGCTCACCTGAGGTTCTGGGAAGTCTCATCCTCAGGAGTCAAGACCTGCTTCAATTGTAACTGTGGTTCTCGTGGCTCCTGGCTTCCACTGTGTCCGTCACCACACTGAAGAAGCCACCTGTCACTCAAAATAAAAAACATTCTACTCTGATAATACTAGGACCCTCTCATGAGTATGAAACCAATTGCTCTGAGAACCCAGTGACAGCGAGAATAGACTCAGTACATCCTGCTCTGAATCCTGAACCACGAAGTCTGAGCTTGGTCAGAGACACTGCATATCAAGGGCTGTGCAGACATCCCCATTTTGCCACAAAGAAGAGCAACAAGTACAGATTATCATGGCCTGCGCCACCATGTGCTAGAGAATGAGGGGGTGTGGGGGACATCTGGCTGGTTAAGCTGACATCCATCCTAGATATCAGCAGCCACAAGGCAGACAGGTGCCACCTCTGTGTGTTTCCGCGAGAGTCCCTCTGAGCCCTTTCTCTCGCACTCCAACCCAGAGCAGCAGGGACTGACCTGCTCTGCTTCCCTCCGCTAGACTGACAACGAGACCATCAACTACTCCAACTTCCTCAAAGCGGCGGTTTCGAATGGCATCATCAAGAGGAAGAAGGACCTCCACATCCATGTGAGCTGCAAGATGCTTCAGAACACCTGGGTCAACACCGTCTACATCACCAACAACACCGTCGAGATCCAAGAAGTCCAGTATGGCAATTTTGATGTGAACATCTCCTTTTATACATCCTCCTCCTTCCTGTATCCAGTGACCAGCAGCCCATACTACGTGGATCTGGACCAGAACTTGTACCTTCAGGCTGAAATCCTCCATCCTGATTCCTCCCTGGCCTTGTTTGTGGACACCTGTGTGGCTTCACCATACCCTAATGACTTCTCATCTTTGACATATGATCTCATCCGGAGTGGGTAAGGACTTGTGGATGGGACAGTTGCAAATTTTTGCCTTATAACTCACACACAAGTAGCCAAAAACCACTCAGGGACTGCATATTTTTGGCTAGCTGAGTTTGCCAGGGGTTCCAGCTAAGATAGTTTTCTACATGTGGTTTTTGCCTTTTGAGGACCCCTCATGCTGTTTCCCGGGTTACATTCCCGATTAAGAGGACAGGTTATTAGGCACCATGTCCTGTTAGTGTGTGGGAAGAGAGGAATGAGTCACCAATGGTCACTCAATTGGATGGCGATAAACTGGCGTTTATAAACTCTAGCCTTAGGGTTAGAACATGAACATGACATGGGAAACACATTGATTTGAGAGAAGACTTAAACTAAAGTACACAGATCTCTGCGTCAGTTTCTGTACCACAAGCCAGTGGGAGATGGTGGCAAGGATTAGAAGGTCACTGCACCAAAGGCCCTCACACTCTCTGTCCGCTAGGAATGTCACTTCTCCATTATGGTTCAGGACATGTTGAGGTTGACTCAGTGGAGACCAGATTGGTTGCACTGGGCTCCTCTGCTCCAGTGTCCCTGGAGGAGGCTCTTTAGGGGAGGTGTGATGCTTCTGCACTCTTGGAGGAGGTCTGACATGTTGGGTGTGCGAGTCCGGCCCCCACTGTGTAATCTCTGCTGGTGGGAATGGTACCTCTTGGCTTAGAAGCCAAGACACCCGAGTAGCCATTGCCTCTGATGGGAAGCCATAGTGTCAAGGGAAGGAGGGCTGGTAGTAAGTGGCTGGGCAGTGGTCTTAAACCTCACACCAACCCGAGATGTCAAAGACAGCCTCACATCCTAGGAACTCTTTGAACATGAATATCAATTCAATAAGCAGAGAGAATGGGCATCTTCTCGCACAGTCTGTATAATGGGTTCAGGTTGGAACTGTCCCCTTGGAAACACAGCAAACGCAGGAAGAAACTTACCCAGACCCCGTTTGCTCTCCGTAGTAACCAAGCAGTGTCTGAGTGGAGTGGGGTGGCTAACATGAATGGCTCACCTATGAGCAAGTAGTCCTTGACTATGGTGACAGTCTGCCATATATGCGGCAATGCCATTTGTGATGACAACTGGGCCTGGAGCATAGTGACTCACTAGTTGCACCCTGGCCCTCAACCACATCATCCAAAAGTAAACTGACTGGTGGGCCTGGGCCACTAAGTTCTGACCTATGCAGTGTTCCCCCACCTCTAGCCCTGCTTCTACCCAATTCTTCCCAAAATGCTCCTCCTCTGCACAAACCTCCAAATACCCTTTCCTTTGGAATGCTAATAGGGCTGCAGTACAGAAAAGAATTCTGGGTATTTCAGGGCTGTTAAGTTGAGGGGAAAAGCAAGAAGGAAGCTCTGGGAGGAAGAAGGAAGATGGTAAATTGACACAGAACTAATCTTGCGGGACAGCCAGGCTGCCCTGAGACAGTCCTCCTAAGAAGCATTCTATTCTAAAGGCCAGGCTGGTGTTCCTCGCTTCTCTCCAGCCCATCACTTAAGCTTCACTATTATGGATGCACATGGATTGTCCCCTGTAGACAGCCTCATCTTCTTCTCAGTGATATTCCTTAAGTCGATTGGCTGACAGATTCCTTCACTCGCCAGCAGAGACAAGGTGCCCCAGGGACGAGGAAGTGCTGGATATAGGAGTTCCAGTCCTAGAGAGAACTGCCAACATGGCTGTGCAGTTGCCCAGGGGCAAGCCAGGCTGTGTGTGTGTGTGTGTGTGTGTGTGTGTGTGTGTGTGTGTGTGAGCTCAGCAGAGAGGCCCTAGGGCCCTAGGAGACAAGGGTCAGGGAGCATGGAAAATGTTTAGCCTACATCTGAATGTCACCGTTCGAAGCCCAGTGACCAGAAAAGGGAAGAAGGGACCATCTCCTTTCCTGATCTGCCTCTGGCTTGCTCTTGGATTCCATACTTGAGCTTCCCTGGTTACCCGTTTGTACTGAGCTTGTCACACCAGATGGTCTGCTGGGCTGCTAGGACTTATGGGCACCCCTCACAATGAGTGTGTGGTGGCGCTGGAAGCCCAGGTCGCAGGATGACTGCAGAGAACAAGGGCATAAAGGGGAGACCAAGCCTCAGCAGGCTAACTGGTTCCTTTCCTTACTTCCAGATGCGTGAGAGATGAAACTTACCAACTCTACTCCTCACCGTCGCCACGCATTGCCCGCTTCAAATTCAGTTCCTTCCACTTCTTGAACCGCTTCCCCTCGGTGTATCTGAAGTGTAAACTGGTGGTGTGCAGAGCCTATGATTTCTCTTCCCGGTGCCAGAGAGGCTGTGTGGTGAGGTCCAAGAGAGACGTCGGCTCCTACCAAGAAAAGGTGGACGTTGTCCTGGGACCCATCCAGTTGCAATCCCCCAACAAAAATAAGAGGAGCCTGGGTAAGTGGTTACCCTCAGATCCAATCTTCCACTGGGATCCTTGATTCTGGTCGATTTGGGATATTTTTGTTTGTGTTATCGGCCAACTCAAACTGCACACCAGTCAATGAATTAGGCTTGCTCGCGGCCTTTCCCCAAGGCTCACGGTTACACATAGGTCCTAGGCAAGAGAGTTGTGATCTGGAGCTCCCAGAATCCTTATCTATAAGGTGAGAAGGCTAATGTCTTCAAAGACTATTAAGAGGGCTTACTAAAACAATGCTCCTTAAATCACCTTGGTCCTTGTCCGGTGTAAAGCACTGAATGATTGATGAATGTACTACAGTTTTTGCTGTTAACATAATTAACAGGAATATTATTCTTCATTGTTGGCACTGAGAGAGCACAAAAAATGGGGACAGACCTCTGTAGTCTATTAAACCAGAAGCAAACTTTATTTAGAAAAAGAAAAATATTAAAAAATCACCCCGGGGCTCAAAAGCTTACCAGCAGCTGGGACAACAACCAGCGTGCAGGTGGTTTCAAAACCGTGGCAACAGGAGCTGGTGTTGGGCCTCTTTTTAACAGGAGAAACAATCAGGTGTGGGTCAAAGAGCTTTTACAGCCTTGAGGCCAGGTTTAAAGTCACAGTACATTTTAAGTTTTACAACTTTTGGTTATAGGCTGTTAACTTAGAGTGTTTGTGAAAGTCTGTGGCCTAAACAGCCACTTTTCACTGTTCCTGAAAGAATGTAAGACAGAGGGTAGAGTCACATAGGGGACAGTTAAAACTTGAGGGAATACAAGCAGAGTATTGCACTTAGAGGCAATAGTTAGAAGCTAACCTTTGTCTGCAGGACCTGCCTAGCTGGGAAGCTGGGAGGCTGGAGACAATTGTTAAAGGTTTACCTCTGTGCACATGGCTGCCCCGATGGCTGCTCTGAAGGCAGAAAGTGTTTGCTAAAGGTTAACAGGTTTTTGTTATTTTTGCTATAACCTTTTGCAAAAGGTTATTTTTCTCTAAAACGTGTTTGGGCTTACAATTTTATATTTCTATATTCTTGGACCCTTTATTTCTATATTCGATTCCTAGACTCTTCACGCATCAGGGAGTAACAGGTGTTTTGAATTCGCCAGCTGGGTGGGGCATGAACATACAGGCAGCATGAACTGATTTTGACTTCTGGTGTGTGTGTGGGGGGCGGGTCTGGCACTAAGTGAGACATTTTACTCCCCATCTAGACCGAGTGGTAGGGTGTGATTTCTGCTCTGTTGTTTGTTGTGGGCATTGACTAGGAGATGCCCATGGTAGGAGTCCTAGGGCTTCTGACCCAGGCTGGCATCAGGTAGGGTGACAGGGGCAGAAATGGGTTTATTATATTGTCACCAACCTACCCCTAGATCAGGGCAACACCATCAATCACCCTCTGGGAACCATCTGTGATAGCTTCCTGTCCTCATGCCCCATAGTAGGCTGGTCCCTACAGCAAGCTGACTGTAGACTCTTATTCATTCACTTATTAAATACTTAGCAAAGGCTTATGGTATCACAGGAGGCAAAACCAAAACCAAACAAACAAACAAATGGAAAAACAGGTGTGGTCAGAGCAGACCTTGTGCATAGCTGGTGCTTCCATTGGGGTGGGACTTTGTAGAAAAGGAGAGTGAGCAAAGTGAAGAGGCAGGTGGTGCCCAATGTCTGTTTTCCCTGTATGCCTGCAGTCACCACAGTAGCTCGGGTCCTGGATTCCCTTCGCCTGGGGTTTTGTCACCATTTTGCAACTGGCTTAAATGCCACAACTCTCATCTACAGACCCAATCCAGAATGTTCTCCCAAAGCCCGGGTCTGAGTCCTGCAAAGACCCTTCCCTAACTCCCCTCGCTGGCAAGACAATGGTGTGTAAATCTCTCTAGTCCAACACTCAGCTGCTTCGTGGAGGCTAGCCTCGGTTTCCCCTTCTCTCATTTCCTTATCCATCTCCACCCAAAAGTTCTGATAAGAACCATCCAGTTCCATGTCTTCTCTGCCATTCTCTGGTCTGTGCCCTATCCTTCTCCATCATCACATTCTCTTTTCTTCCACAGACTTGGCAGTGAAGGATGTGGAGAAGCCAGTTAACTCCCAGGCGGCCTATCCCACTGCTGCCATCTTTGGTGGAATCTTCCTGGCCGTGGTCCTAGCTGTGGCTGCCTTCACGCTGGGAAGGAAGACACGCGGTGCCCGTGGCCAACCTCCAAGCACTAAGATGTGAAGCAAAGCGCACCCAGGCATTGATTCTACATGCCCAGATTCCCGGAAAAGACAGAAGGAATGAGCCTGTGATGCTTTGCACCCGGATACACTGCGGCTAGGTTTTCCCTTAGCATGAATGCATGGCAAAGTATGTTGAGACGGCAGAGGAAAAAGGTGGGGCCCAAGTTCCCCCAGGGTCTACAGGCTGAAGGCTGGGAAGGACATAGCAGAACGAGACCACTGTCGACAACCCCCCACACCTAGGAGCCAAACACTGGAGCAGCAGTGATTTCTCTAGCTAGTTCCCCTTCCCCATTTTATGGCCAACTTTCTCAACCTGTAGTGTCAATCAATCTCAGTCTGTCCTCATAATGAGGCAAACTAAATAAAGACTTTTTCAAGGCAAGTGTCTGCTTGGTCATTGTCTGTAGAGGTTGACCCCACATGCTGGCTTCCCTCACGTCAGACAGCTGTGGGGACACGGCAACAGAAATGCTGAAAGGTGAAGGGATTCTGCTTCAAGGCTTCAAAACCTTCAAGAGGATGATCATCTCCAGTCCTCCCAGACTCTTCGTCTTTCCATTCATGACGCAACGGTCAGAGCTATGGGATGGGAAGGGCTCGGAGGAGGGTACAGATGCCTAGGACAGGAGTCCTGTTTGCAGAAAGTCTCCAGGGAGAAGCATGACTGGTCATCACAGAAGATAAAGGGATGAAACGGGTTCCAAGAAGGCAGTGAATTAGTGACGCAGATGGTGGGACCCAAGCCCCTAGGTACTGTGCTGGCAATGCCAATGCCAGGAGCCCGGCTCAGGCCCCAACCAGCGGCTGCTGGGATGATCCCGACTATGAACATGTTGCTAGAGTTAGGTGAGACCCCTAGGACAGAGGGCCAGAGATGTCCAGCAGCGATTCAGCCACAGCTGCCAGCTCTGACCAGAGATGGTTGAGACATGCCCGTCACCTACTGTGCAAGTTTCAGCAGCAGTGGGTGGGGTGGGGATGAACCTATGAGCCCTTCCAGCATGCAGAGGAGCTAGGAGGCCAGGGCATATCTTGTCAGTTTTCATTCTCCTGGCCTTCATCACCCATAATCATGTCCAAGCCCGGGGACATTGGAGAAAGTCCTGACAGATCACTCTGTGTGGGCAAACTGTAGACTCCAGTCTGGGCTAGATCTGAACAGATGTGAACCTTCATAGAACTCCAAGTTTGGGCGACACCTCAAACGAATGACAGACACATGGTGGGTAAAAGAACAGGAAATATCAAATCTGTTTTGAGCTGTGTCATGCATCTTTCTGGGTTGGAGCTTTCAGGCAGACAGCTCTCCGTAACCCGTTAGCCATCCCAGTTGTGGAGGCTAGAGGGCGCTGCAGCTCAACATTAGTGCCGTCTTGTTACTGGGCCTCCCTCTCTCCCTCCTTTCCTGTACGAATGGTGTGTGCGTATGGGTATGGTCCGACCACGCCCTGTGTGTGCACCCAAAGTTGACATTGGGTGTCTTTCCTGATAGCTTCTCACTTTATTGAGATAGGGGCTCACAATGAACCTGGAGCATCCCACTTTTGCTAGTCTAGCAGGCCAGCTTGCTCTGTCTTCCCCTTCTCAAGTTCTGGGTTTAGAGGCAGCTGCCACGTCCACCCGAAGAAGCCTTTTTCTTCCTTTAGCTGAGCCTGTCTGTGAATCTCTAGTCCCTAGACCGATCCCAGACTTCCCAGAAAGACTCCAGGAGAATGGCCCAGCCAACTCTTACTTCCCCAAGGAAGTTTACGAATTTCAAGTTGTGAGACTCTTGGAGTATCAGGGGTATCAGGGGTCAACTGGTTCCAGCTTATCCCCACTGGTATAATGTGTCCAACGTCACTTAGTGTGCCCACCACTCTGCACCATGGGTCAGAACCTTCTGTCTTGGTTTGTTTTTTTGTTAACTGGACACAAGCCAGGGTCATCTGGGAAGAGGGAACCTTAACTGAGAAAATGCCTCAATTAGAATTGGGGCATTTTCTTTATTAATGATTGATATAGGAGGGCCCAGTCTATTGTGGGTGGTGCCACTCCCAGGCAGCTGGTCCTGGGCTATATCAGAGAGCAGGCTAAGCGGCCAGGGGTAACAAGTCAATTAGGAGTGTTCCTCCATGGCCTCTGCTTTGGATCCTGCCTCAGTTCTCCTAGATAACAGACTCTAGCCTAAGAGCCAATTAAACCCTTTCCTCCCCAAGTTGCTTTTGGTCATGGTGTTTCACCGCAGCAATAGTTACTGACTAGGACAAAGGACCTGCTCTAGTGGCCCACTCCCCTAAACCCGGTCCTATAACCCCGCCAGCGGGGGGCCACATTAGTCTGAGGGAAACCCTTCAGACTCAATTCTTAATGGTTACCAGATTGTTTCTATAGGAGGAAATAAGAGGTAAAAATGTCCTAATCTATCAGCTTGCTTGTAATTGTCCCCTAGCTTCTGTAGAAATATAGGTGTGATTTGTGTTAACCTCGAGAACGGTAATAAGAGATATGTACATCCCACACGAGTGTTGTGCAGGATCAGCGGAGATAGGAAGGACAGTGTGGAGATCAGACAGACTTTTTTTTTTTAACAAAGAAAAATAATTCCTAAGTGTGTGACATTTACCTTGGCCAGCTATGAGCTAAGTACTCATTAAGGTGGACATGTGAGTGGCTAATGCTTTTCTCCGCATTAGGAGTCTTTGGAGACCATCACAGCTCTTAAGACGAGGGCAGCTTTATTCCTCTTGAAAGGCAATATCTCTCCTCTTTGAAAGCATTTCAGGTTCAAAGAGGGGAAATTTCCCCTCTAAGCAGGAAAGGGTACCTCACACTCTCCACAGAATATCAAAAATAACCGAAACAACCTCTAATAGGCGGCGCGTTGGATTGTTAGATGCTGCGACAGAAAAGGCTTTCACGATAATAGCTGATTTAAAAGCTAAAAGCTGTGCCCCTTGCTGGGAAGAGGATTCACCAAATGGTGAGTAACAGGCTTATTGAAGTGGAGGGATGCATTTGGGTTTACACACGAGTCTTACGCTACGTGCTCTTCATGTTACAATTACTGCAGAGTACTCAGGGGAAACAGAAGTACAACCACCGCATGGGTTAATCTATGTAGGAATATGGATATCTTCCCCGAGAAGGAAGTCTTTAGGACATTTGGGTCAACATCACCTGGATTTCTGAGTTTGTATCAAAGATTAGCAATAATCACGCAGAATGGCATTGTGGTTATTTGTTGCCATGGAGAATGGAGTTGTTGCTGTGGTTGCTAATATATGGTTCAGTGATCTGAGCTGTGTCTTTTGGTTCTTTATGGTTGGTTGGATTTTTGAAAGCTGAAGTGGTGGAGTTTAAAGTCAGGGAAAACATTAGGAATAATTTCACGTAAACCTTCAGGATGGATGTTCTTCAAGTGAAATATTTTGCATGCTTCCCTCTGATTATTGTTACTTTTTGGATGAGATTTTTGGCAGCTGTGACTGCTGCGGAGATTTTGGTGAAATACCAACTACTAATCTCCACCTCCCTCTCCCATATCTATCTATCTATCTATCTATCTATCTATCTATCTATCTATCTATCTATCTATATCTGTCTGTCATCTATCTATCTATCTATCTATCTATCTATCTATCTATCTATCTATCTATCTATCTATATCTGTCTGTCATCTATCTATCTATCTATCTATCTATCTATCTATCTATCTATCTATCTATATCTGTCTATCTGTCATCTATCTATCTATCTATCTATCTATCTATCTATCTATCTATCTACTATATTTTGTCAGAGAGACCTGAAAGGTGCTTCGTGACTTTTTGCCCAAGCTCTGTAGCAACTCCAGGAGTGAACAAGCTGAGAAAGTCTCAACTTGGGGTGTCAGCAGGTAGAAGACTGTGTTCTTTTGACTCTCTAAGAGACAGGCACTTTATGTATTTATGAGCCCTTGCAGTGGCAGGTCTCAGAAAGCCAGTCTCCGGTGGGTATAAAGGAGTACGGGGATCAACTTCTGAAACAACATACAACGGTGGCAGACTGACGGCAGGTAGATGCCTGGTGTTCCTCCCTGCCCTGGCCTTGCTCTGCCTGCTCTAAGAGCTGCCCTCCCTGCCCTGGCCTTGCTCTGCCTGCTCTAAGAGCTGCCCTCCCTGCCCTGGCCTTGCTCTGCCTGCTCTAAGAGCTGCCCTCCCTCTTGGTAGGCAGCAAGTGGCGAGCAGCTCTTCTCACCTGCCTCTGCACCACACTTGACTCTGAGCCATTGTTCAGTGTTTATCACATTCATGTCTGCAGCAGTCACTGCTATAGATGGTGGGGCTCCTGGCCATCACTTATACTTTGTCTCCATTGCTCTTGGACTAGCTTCCAAGCAGGGTTTGACTCAGTTTGGGCGCATTGACTAGTGGGATAGGAATGGCTAACTGGACAAACTGGAGTTCTCGATCAAGAGAGGGGAACCATGTAGAGGAGGTTATTTATAACCCTTCAAATCTTCCACTCATCTTTGTGGAATGAAAGTGAGGCCCCCGGGAGGGGAGTGAGGGCAGCCTCGGGTCAGCACAGAGACCAGACAGGGGTGGAGGCTGTCGGCAGATTTGGGCAGATAGATGTCTCAAGTTTTATAGGGAATGGAGGAAAGACCCACAGGGGAGATGCATGAGTCTGTTTAAGGACAGTTTTAGAAACAGTGTGGCCAGGACAAAGATGTGGGGCACAGAAATCCTCAGAAACCGAGGCTAATCCAGGCATTCTTGCCGAGAGGAATCAAAACTTCGATTTCTGGGTGTTTCTAGAAAACACAGTCCTTTTTGTCTCCCCAGGCAGCCACTGCCATGTGTTGTGGAATATTATTTTAACTAGGCAAAGATGTGTTACATTTGTTTATGCTGTGGACTATCACTTTAACTTGTAGAGATGTGTTCCTTTTGTTTCTGCTGCATTTGTTTAGTTATATAAAGATGCGCTGCAGCTGTTTCACCTTGCCTGCCCAAGGTGGTCTAATAAAAAGCTGAAGGACCTATAGCTAGGCAGGAAAGGGTTGGGCGGGGCTTCCATGCAAAGAGAACTCCAACGGGCATCACACATAAGTAGAAGCAGAAAGTGTGTGGTCTTCCATGACTGGTTTCATTCACTTAGCATGCCATTTCTATATCCATGCTCGGATCTTGATCAGTTCCCAATCCTTCACACGCCTGAAAAGTACTTCATTGCACGACCCTTACCACTTTCCTTTTGCCACCGATCATCAGAGGGGCATTTCGGTTATCCCCACTTTGAGACTACCATAAGCAAACAGCTATGAATACTCATGTCTAAGCTTGTGTGTGGACACATGTTCTGGATTCTACTGGATGTGTGCCCAGTGAGAGAGCATTACGTATAACCCTTTGGAGC